GTACTGTGTGATTCATATATTTTGAGTTATGCGCTAGCGTTTTGCGCGTTTTTAGTCAGCTTTCGGCCGTTAGCGGACTCGGAAACTTTATATAAGGGTTATAAAAAGAATCTTGTATCATAGATTTAGATTTAAATTGAAAATTAAAAATTGCAAAACCTAATAATTATGAAATATGCCATAATTACAAAATTCAATATAAAATCCTCGATAAACTATTCTAGTTTTTAAATTTGAAAATACCCGCGCATGAATGACGTCTGCAAAGCACGAATTTCAAAAATTATCCTTTTGAAATCATAAAATTTTGCTTGGTAAAATCACGAATTGAAATCCGGGAAAGCGTAAAAATACTTCAAGTTTTGAGCCTGTCGAAAATTAGCTCAAATTTTCAAGCTCTTTCAAAATGATCTGCGAGCCGCTTTGCACTATTTTACGCCTATTTTGAGCCTATTGATGCCAAAATCACTGCGTCCCGAGAACTTGTTGACCTCCCAAAAAGCCAAGTACGCATTTGTCAATACCTTTGTAAAGTTCAAAAAATGGAGCTCCGGGGGCGGCTCGTGCTCCTTATATACCCCCATTTTCCGGCTCGGTGCAAACAAGGATCATTAATTCGATCCGCTGGAATCATCGCAAATTGCTTGCTACGTAGATCGTGCTCCTTATTTTTTTTTGATGATTCTTTGGCCCCGGTAGGCTACGAGACGTTGCCGAGCCAATCCTATCTACCACTACTCGACCCGCACCCAGTCCGAGACAATACGTTTAGCGCGAGCTGGCCAGAGCTGTTTCTCTCTCTCGCTCTCTCAATCGTTTAACCCGGCCGTCCAGTTATTCTTTTCACTCACTGCAAAAATAATGGCCCGAAGCGCACAGCAGCGACTTTTGACTACGTCAATTTCCCAAATGACGTCGCCAAATTTGTCGCTGAAAACGTTTCACGTTTGCCTATTTTGGCTGGGTGCCTCGTTCTTCGGCCCTCAAAAATGATGTCGACGAACTATTCGTAAATGTTCCCCCCCGACGGGCCGGTAATTTGACTAGAGAAGCCGCGAACTTTTGGATTTTTTGGGCAAGTACGGAGTATAGCTACGTAGCTAAGTGGTTTAGAGATCGGATATATAAATGGGATTTATGGAAATAGATTAGAAAAATAGGATTTGCCAAAAGATCGCGAAAACGTGCAACTACGTGTCAAAACAAACACGGTAGGTCAGACGACTGTACCATAATTTAGGCTTAGGCCTAGGCTTAACTTAGGCTTAGCTGAGGCCTAGGTTAGGCTGGATCAGGTTGGGCTTAGGCTCGGCTTCGGATTAGGCTTAGGCTTGGGCCTAGGGCCCAGGTTCAGGCTTCCCGTAAGCTTAGACTTCGGCTTCGGACTTAGACCCAAGCTTCGTTGTAACAAGAAGGTAAAATATTACAAGTAATTTAATTATAGCTACAGTTAGAAGATTAGATTAAATTAATTAGATTATTAAGACTAGAGATTTTTAGATTTTCTAAAAGTATCTAAAGTCTTAAAGTCATTTAGCTCCATTTAAAATTTACAAATTGAATAAAACCAATAAAATCAGGCGTCTGCCATCCAGCAAATTAGTCGCCCTCTCGTGCTCGGAACGCCCTTATAAACCCGGCGGCGGTTCCATCCGATGCAAATTATCATGAATTACCACCGGATATTACTCTGCGTAATTCGTGCCCGGCTTCTCGCCCCAAAAAATGTTGCGACGGGCCGGAAAGTAGTGATGATAGCCGCGCCGGCTTCTTCTTACTCAACAACCACTATCCGGCCCAATTAACGTAAAAAAGCAGATGCTGCGTCGAGGTTTTTGCTCAGATCAACTAATTTACGACGTCAACTGACGTCTTAGAGCCTGTAGATTTTTGCAAAAAAATCATGAATAATTCTTACTGTAGTTTTCGTACAGTTCCCCGACTTCCGTTACACTCCGCCGACTTCAAAAGTCCAGCCCAGTGCACCCCACCTAACCCCTTCGAAATTCCCCATTTCCGCCTAAATATAGCATATCCCCCGAATTAGCTAAATTTAGAAAATGGGTACGGTCGTCCAGACCGCTTTTTATAACATTTTACGGCGCCCTCCCTATTTCCGAGGGCTGATTTGGGAACGCAACATGTGATTGATGAAGGGTACGGTAGTGAGCTTTGTTTTTTATGTTTTAGTCCCGGGATTTTAAAATCTTGACTTTTTAAAGGGGCCATGAAGGTAAATGAATCCTGCGCATTAATAAAAAATGAAAAGATGGAGTTCTGTTATGTTAGCCAATTAATTGAATAGAATTTTTTACTTCTAGATACCTTTAAAGGTGATGGTGGTGATTGCTTAATTATTTAAAATTCTAATCGATAACAAATATGCGGATCTTTTCTTTATTCGATCAGGCAAGCTAGCAAAGATTCTGTGAACTACTTGACAATCTGCGATGGTGTTATGACTTCCCGGTTCCTTTAAGCGCATCTAAATTTGTTTAGGAAGCGTGAATTATCAACTAGACTAATAAAACGCCCTGGATTTATATTTGCTGTTTAAAAAAGTCATGTATTCTTGTGTTATCCGTTCCTTTAAAATCCCGGTTTCGTAAATAAAGAAAACGCGGCATAAAACCATGTTAGATGAATCGGGCAGTCTAGCAGAGCTTCCTAGGTTTTTCTACCCTGAAAAGTTATGGATTTCTGCCTTCCCTATACCTTTAAACAGCGCGATTTTCCCGAAAAGCCGTCTAAACTGAACGGGTAAGCTAGCAAAGAGGCTGTGAAGTCCAGCCTAATCGGCTATGGATTTGTGACTTCCAGATACCTTTAGAAATTAATTTCTTGACCCTTCATTCCTATAACCCGATTTCCAAATCCAATTCAAGCCCCAAATTCTGCAAATCCAATCACGCATCTCTGTTTTGACCCAAGTCCTCTCTCTCTCTCTCTCTCTCTCTCTCTCCCTCTCGCTCTCTCTCTCTCTCTCTCTCTCTCTCTCTCTCTCTCTCGCTCTCTCCTCTCTCTAGTACAATCGTTCAGTTAATTGACCGGAACCCTTCGCAAGTCGTTTGTTCCGCCTTTTCCTGGGTGCATTATATCATTAATCGGGACCCCCTCTTCTGTTTCCTCTCCGTTCATTGGCCGGAAGAGAACACACGTAGCCACCCGAACCCCCGACCGGATAAGACGGAGGGCCCTGCAAAATCGGCGGGAAATTGGGTCAGGCTCGTCGATTGCTTATAAGTGGTAGATGGCGTCGTTTATTGAAGGGGTTTAGGCTTCGAAAATCTTTGGGTTTACGTAGATGTTGGTATTTGAGAATTAACGACTACGAGGCGCTACGTAGATTTCGCGTCATTTTCGGGAAGTTTTTCAAGTTGAAAGGCGGTTAGCGGGGTAATTAGAGCAAAAAAATAGGTTCGAGGAAAGTTGAGGAGCATGAGAACGTGAGAAATTTAATGTAAATTAAGAAATTACCGCATTTGTATTCTGGAAAATGTTTTCAAGGAACATGGAAGGCAAAACATTCTTCGAAATGTCAGAATTGGCTACTGCAGCGCTTTAAAATGTATAATTTAACGTATTAAAGTCATGAATAAGTCTCAAAAAAGCTACCATCGATTTTAAAGGGACTTGGAAGGCAAAAGGTTCCTGGAAAATTACTAGACTTGGCTACTGTAGTTTTGCTAAGAATTTAAAAAATTAAATCTAACGCATTGAAATTATGAACTGGCCTTACAAGGGAAGTGCACGACCGGCCCACGAGAAATCGACACGAGACATAGTGGATCTGATAGAATCGGACACGGGGATTCCGAATCTGTAACTTCTTCATAACTTTTTTCTCCGTTTTATTTAGCAAACTCTGATTACAGATTTGGAATCCCCGTATCCGATTCTATCAGATCGATTATGTCTCGTGTCGATTTCTCGCGGGCCGGTCGTGCACTTCCCTTGTTAGAAAGGCTTCAATCCATTTCAAAGGAGCTTGTAAGGAAGATTTTTTGATCAGAACAGCCTTTTCTAAAAAAATCGAAAAAGTCATTTTCATCTAATTTTGTTTTTAAAAAAATTAAAACTACTTTTTCTAAAAATTCAAAGCGCTATAAAAACCCAAAATTGCCTTGCGGGTCTGGAATCTAAAAATTCGCGGAATTCTGGATGCAATTAGATGAGCTGAATCTGGGTTCCGGGCCTGTGAGGCGGTAAATTCAATTATTCTCCGATCGGCTGCGGGCCGACCCGTCTTGAAATATAAGCGTATATAGACGAAAAATAAGTGAAATGTTTGTTTTTTGCCTTGGAAAACAAAACTCACGTCAAGGATAAATTCGATTAATTAAATTTTGGTAAAAATTGTTGTTTGCACTTGGATATAGCCTCAAAAAATAGCAACGTTTGTTCCAATCGAGATATGAGCACGAGTTCTGAGCTCCAGTTTAAACCCGGGATATCCATAAGAGGTTTTCTTCAGTTTTGTTAGATTCTTAGCGTGAGCCGTAGAATTTATCAAGATGAGCACGAGGTCAAAGCTCCTGCTCAAAAACCTAACATACCTCTAGTAAATTTTCATTTTGGATCCTTATAGATACGCCAATATAAGCACAAAAACTGAGCTCGTACTCAAAAACAAAACACGCATTCAAAAACGGTTCGTTAATACGATTAAACTAATTAAATTTTAACACGACAAAATCAGAAAATTAAAATCGTTAAAATGAGCTGGAACTCACACCTCTGTGCTCTGCGTGGTAATGATCGAGAGTCCATTCGCAGGATTACGGTATCCTCAGAACCCATATGCAACATGTGCGAATCGGCCCCTTTCTTCCGCTACACTCCTCTTCACACTGCCGACAGCACCCCCATGTAAAAAAGCTCATTTATTTCGCTCAGGCCAGCACCTCGGGATACGCGACAATCCGGTCGTCTACCGGGCATTAAATATACAGCAAATTCACATAAAATATACAAATATGTAAAGACATTTCAAAAATTCAATTTTCCACGCAACTACTGTAAGATGGTGGTGGGGGCATGTTTAGGTATTCATACGACAAAAGTGGCTGTTCCGCTGGCTTTGCCGGAGTCCGACTCATTACGAAGCCATCCCATAAACATTTTATAAGCACGTATAGCCCGATTATAGTTAGGGTACCGAATATAACAACCGCGAGGACCGGGAGGGTACCTTAAAAAGTTTAGAAATAGAGAAAAATATTTAGAAAATGTTACCTGCCACCTCTTCCCAAATAAAACCATTAAATTGAGGTTGTGCGGCGCTGTGAAAATTGAATTTAGCTGAAATTTGGGTTATTGATGAAAATTTCTCAAAGTCTAAGCTTAAGCCCAAGCCTAAGCCTGAGTTGAGCCTGAGCCTAAACTTAAGCCTAGACCTAAGCCTAAGCTAAGTCTACGCCTAAACCTAAGCTCAAACCTAGGCCTAAGCTTAAGCAAAGCCAAGCCAAGCCAAGCCTAAGCCGAAACCAAGCCTAAGCCTAAGCGTAAACTTGTAAGATTTTCCTCACCTAATTTTTGCGCCTTTTCAAATTCCAAAGCCGCCTGCGTTAAATATTCCGTCCATTCCTTGTATATCCTCATTTCCGCGGCCATCGTTTTATCATGAGCGGTGGTCACATTAAAATAATAACTTTCCAGGGCTGTCATCTGAAAAATATCAAAATTGTTTTGTACTTCTACAGAACCAACCAAATTCTCAGCCCAAAAGGTATCAAAACTTGGAGGGTATGTTTTCAGGGGGAGGTGTTTTGTGGTCACTCTAGAAATGTATAAAAATTAACAAATTACTTACCTTTCATTCCAAAAATCACTGACATCTTGGTAATATTTATAGCCAACTTTAGCTTTTTGAATTTTGTAATCACGATCAAAATCTGGAAATATATATATATAATCGATTAAAATATATAAAATAACGTTTAATGCTATAGATTTGGATTTAAGTATAATAAAATATATAGGTTTTTTGTTAAATTTAAACTTACTAATCCTCAAATAATTCCTATCCCGATCCCAAGGCTTCCAAGGACGATAGTGTCGACTCAAATCTTTTCCTTTAATAAAATCAGCAACAATTCCACTAAAAAATCTTAGATACAGCGCCACAGTACCCTCTACCGTACCTGTAAACCCTCTCGTTTTCCCAATCTTTAGGCGTAAATGGGCCGCGATGAATTCCCATCACGTAAATCTAAAAACGCGATTAAAATTAACCAATTAATTTACATAATCTTCAGAATGTGTAGGCCTCCTTTCCCTTGGAAACTGTTCATTTGTTAAGTTTTTAAACGCCATTCCTGTGTCCTGATATTCGTAGGAATACATGTAAACTTCAGAGCCAACCTAAAAAAAAATATATTTAATTAAATCTTATCTTATTCAATGTTTTATTTAATCCCTTACATCCACCAAATCATCAGCAATTTTGGCCGTCGACGCATAGAATGCCAAATCATCGAAAAATTCGATGGGTGTACGATCTGAGACTAATTACGATATCGAAGACTAAAAAATACGTTTGGAGTATTGTTCGAAACATCGTTTTGAGAATAGAATCGGGTCCTCGAATTTCATTTCGAAGCCCAGATGAGTACACGTTTCCTTTAGACGAGCCGGATGGCCCATCATAAATCTAAAAATTTAATCTTTAGCTTAAATCTCGAAATTCTGAAAGTTACCCTCCAGATTTCGATTCAGCAGACGTAGTGCCTATCAAAGTTCTTCTTTTCGTTCTTTTTAGATGATTTGCATAATCGGGAATATACTATAAACTACAGAATTACAGGAATTTATAGTACGCTTTATACCCCGTGACGCCCGTCTATCCCGGGACCATGAAAATCTTCGGTTTGGTCGTAGAGCGCCACTTGGGCCTGGAAAATTACTTAATTAAATTAAAGCATTTTGTTATGTTTAACTTTTATAGCTTATTATATAATTAACTATATCTAAAATTCGTTTTAGAACCATTTAAAGCCCCTTAGTGTCAACTTACAGCCAAAATATCTTGATACGTCTTATTCCGCATACAGTCCAAAATCGCCTCCACGTTCTCCTCCGTAATTTCCGTACTCCCGCGTAGTGACATAACCTTTCCATTATTGGGAAAAGGATTAAAGCATTTTACATGCTTCGCCACTGCTATACTCGCCTTTTCATTAATGCCTAAAAATCACCTAATTTGCATATAGCCATTTTTGCCGCATACGTTTGCTGATATCCGCTCCAAACATGGCCTTCGACGGGCTCATCATGATTGTTTGGTGGAAAAAGCCGACGAATTTTGGGCTGAGGGAGATCTAGATTTTAGGGGTAAAATGCGTAAAAATGAGTATGAACTTAGAATAAAAATTAGCATAAAAATTACCCATTCGACTAGGGTAGCTCCAGATGAATGGCCCATTAAAGTTACCCTCGAGGGGTCGCCACCAAAATTGGCAACTTCTTTTTGGATCCATTTGAGGTTGAAATGGATGTCTAAATGGAGAAAAATATTGATATAATGATATACAGAAAAATAAATTATACATAGTTACTTTCTTCGAAAAAATGATTTTAAAATAAGTTTTAAGTTTGAATTAAATTAAATTAAAACGTAAGGAAAAATTAATAGAAAAGTTATTACTTTATATAAAATCAAAACGTACATTTACATAAATAAATAAATTTAGAAATAGATGATTTAATTGAAAGCACAACGTTTTGTAATTACCTTGTAAATTCAAATTTCTATCAGCTGATGATTTAATTCCAGGCGATAAATTAAACCCGCCAAAGGAGCCAACTCTAAAAAATTCATAAAACATTTTTTAATTTTTAGTAATTACCTAAACGGTACCACCACAGCCACAATATTCCTCCCCTGTGCCACAAAATTATTGGCTACAGTTTCTTTCGGGAAAATCACCGGCGATTCAAAATTATAGTTTCCGCCATGAACCACCGCCACCACCGGACAGTTTTTCTGAAACACGCCAAAATACTGATAACGGGTCAATCGGGCAGGGGCAGCTGATTGAAGCTTTGAGCGAACAAAAATTTTACGGTTAAACGTAGTGTCAAGAGGAAAGTAGTGGAAAATGGGCTGAAAATCGATTTATGCGATGTTTCTTACTTTTAAGAGGCAATATTTGCTTGTAAAGACGTTCGTCCATAAACAGTCTTCGCCAATAGGACCGCCATCATCAGTTTTGTACGTTAAGCTGGAATTTAAGGCTTAGGCTTAGGCTTAGGATTCGGCTTACTGTAAAGTGTTTTTACTCAAGTTGGAGTTTCGATTCGGGACCAAGTGCATCTTGTGCAGAATTTTTTGCTGATACCGAATCCGTTTTCCAAATTTGCTGCGGACTTTTATTTAAAAAGTCAATTTTGTTGCAAATTAAGCTTGAAAAAGACAAAAATTCGGATCCTGGTCCACTATTCCCTCCATGGTTCTGGCTTGCCCAGGGGCCCTGAAGTACTCTGTCACAGCTCCGCTCCCGGTTGGCACCATGGTGCATTGGCAAATTACTCGCTTGCCAAGCGCAGGGCGGCGGTTCGGATCCCCGCCCTGCACCTTTCTTTTGCTTTTTGCATAAAAAAATTAATCTTTAAAAAAAAGCTTGTTTTAACTTTTAAGATGCTTGTCTAGCCAATCTCTAGCCAATTTTGAAGTTGAAATTGATCAGGAAAATCGAAAACGATAACGGGTTCTTGATTTTGGTGAAAAACCCTACCATAACTGCTGTATAACTTTCAAAATAAAAGTCCGCAGCAAATTTGGAAAGCGGATTCGGAATCAGCGAAAAATTCTGCACAAGATGCACTTGGTCCCGAATCGAAACTCCAACTTGAGTAAAAACACTTTACAGTTAGGCCTAGGCTTAGGCTTAGGCTCATGGTTTGGCTCAGACTTGGGCTTAGGCTTACGCTAAGATTTAAGCTTAGATTTAGGCTTATCTTTAGCTCTGACTTCAATAAAAATCTTAAATTTTATACAATCAAAAAATAAGCGAATTTGAAATGTCTTTCAAGCTATGGTGAAAACGTTTATTTTTGCTTACGGTGGATCCGCGACACAAGCTACACCATATTCCGTAGCATTCCAAATTCTGCTCCACGGCTTTACCGGAATAGCTTTTTTAAATCTATGAAAATGTTTTTAATAAAATTCCTAAATTTTAGATACCTATTAACACCTCCAGTATCCTCTGCAATTTTTATCCCCAAAAATGCGATCGTAGACTCGTTACTCGGAAAAGCAATCACTTCGGTCCCTCGAACTAGACCGGAACTGTAATTTGTAACTTTTTGTACTTTCCCATATCCAAAAACTTACCTGGTTTTTACAATAATTTCTTCAGGAGTCGTAAAAGGAAAGAAACAAATAAAACACGTTAGAAATAGCAATTTTCCAACCGAGACCATGTTTGAAAAATTTTGGAGAAGCGTGCCTGGCGGCCTAAAACTTGATAAGGTTGTTTTGTTGAAGCGTAAAGCGGAAGAATAGAAGTCAAACAACAACGTCTAGAACCTCCAGACAATTGGGGAAGAATCAGAAATCAAAAACGGAAGAGAGAGTCGTGAACTCCAGAAACGACCGGTCAAGGAGCCGCCCGGAAAAATTGCTGGAAGTGATAAGTTGTCAGCAGGGTATCAGGATGTAGTCAAAAAGGGCACAGGACGGTTGTCACAAAGTACAAATGGAGGTCGATATTAATTTAGAAAAAGCAAAGGGTTTTTATTAAAATGCACGTAACGACCAAATAAATGAGAAGTATGAAAATTGAGCAAAAATAGATAATGCTCGAATTTAGTTGGGAAGTAAGAAGGAAGAACAAAAGTAATGTAAGTAAATAACAAGCTTTTCGCTAAAAAACGGGTGGACATCGTATTTTAACGTATTAACCTATAATAATTGATTGGAGAGGTGTTAGGGGGTAGTGAGGAAAGACCCCCAATGAGTGCTCTCTGCCTGCTCGCTACCCTGTCCCCACTCGCCCCCCGTCTGGACCACCCCGATGCGCTAAGGGCTGAGTCTCTCCAACATCGTTACTTGTTTGATGTACCTTGTAATGGCCACTTCGGTGAGCCGGGAGGTGTCATGTTAGGGCTATCCGCAAGGATTAGCAATAATTTTTGCGGATAGGCCTCTCATGGGGCCTTCCGGCTGACCGAAGTCGCCTTACGGCGGTGGGTCAAACAAAAAAGTGTGGATAAGAATTTGAAAATTTTAGTTTCGCCTTGTCAAGGAACCAAGCATTATTTTATATATTTGTTATTGCTGTTTTTTATTTTTGTATTTGACCCTTCAATCACCCTATATTTCTAAATTCCGTTACCTAAAATTCGTCGGATTGCCAATATCCTCGGTCGTCAAAGCTGGACGTCAAAGCAAATGTATACTCCAAATTCAATCATTGCTATGTAGTTAAGAAACCCACATTGCTTATTTTAGGTTGATTTGCCTGCTTGACGGCGTGAGGGTTTTCGGTCAGCTTTGGCGCTATTTAACCGTCTAAAATTGTAAAATTAAGTGTATTAAATTAGGTTTATTATGCATTGCAATTGTGAAATAGTTTATATGCTATTCCTGGCATCAACCAGCGAGCCACCCGGTGATCTTGCTATTGATTCGTCAGAATTTGAAGGAGAAAGCTTGCCATTATCGGCCCACGCATTCAAAGGACCTTGTGGAGCAACTAAAAACATCACGAATTAACTAAATAAATTATCAAACGCACCATTATATTCCGGAATTCTCGGCGCACTAATAGGACTTGTTGCCAGATTCCCGGGTGTTTTACTCCACTTTAAAATTACGTTAAGAGCCAATGCAGACAAATTACCAGTCTCATACTCTGCCGAATTTGATCGCCATATGTTTTCACACTCCTCCGCAAGACCGATTCCAATCTCGTCATTTTGATCGACATTCATCACAGCCGCCAGCTTTCCACCGTTTCCTGTTGCATATCGTCCAATCCGACGGGCTTTTACTCTAAATCGAAATCGAATTTGAAAATCGAAAGGGCTTTTAAATAGAAAAACAATTTACTGATTCATACAGTATCTTTCTCATTGTGTCTCATGTTGCTGGCGATCTTTCAAAAAAATCCTAGACAATAGCTCTATTTTCTACAACACTGGCGATGGAAATGTCTTCGCGTGAGCCGACCTAACAATAAAAAGTAAGTTTTGATGATAGGAAGAGTGCGATTGGATTTAATTAATAATTTAATCCATTAATCTTATAGTAAATTAATATCATGGTTAATTAATTTTTTAATAACCAATGTGGGGCACAGAAAATCGCCATTAGATCGGTTCTGCTGCCACAACCTTCAAAACTGCCAATTCATTCATGTTTTTACGGAATTGTAACATATTATTAATATTATTATCTATCTTCTTATTATTAACGTATAACAAGAAGCCCAAAACATTTTTGTATGTTGAATCCTTCTGAACATTCCAAAAAGCTAGAGGTTTTTAGATTGAGCGAAACAAGTCTAAAAACTAAGCCGGAATCTTTTTTGGTTTTTTTTGCCTTCCTAGGCTCTTTAAAGCTTTTTAAATGGTGTGGTTGTTTCGCTACAAATTGCCCTCCTCTCCTCCTGATCCCGAAAAAGCGTGGCTAAATCCCGCTTCGAGGATTCTGAACACACAAGCTGGGCCATCTCCCCGGAGGGGGCGACATTTCGAGAGCCGATATTTGCATAGGTGAACGCCTCCCCTCCCGAGTCCTTTGTTGCCGCTCGACGCTTTTCGGCAATCAGCGCCGTTTTGCTGGGCTTTGCAAATTTTCGCGTATTTTGGAGTATAATTTACATATTTTACGGGAATTTATCGCTCTTGAGAGCAGAAAAAAATGAAAATTTAGTATTTAGAAGCTGAGCAATGACAAATAAATTTATGAAAATTTTGCCCCCTGATTTATCAACAATTTAACGGCTTAATTCTTCAATTTCCGCTCAAATTGGTGTTCTATTTGCCTATGTTTGATCCGTACCATTCCTCCTCCCTCCACCCCCTCCCCTGCACCCTTCAAACGGCTTATCAAAACGCGATGGGGGATAAGGGACCGAAAGCGAAATTTGCATATGTTCCCCCGTATGAGAGAGAGCAGGTGCTTATCGTCTTTCTCGCACTTCACACTTTCACAGCTTTCTGCGTTTAAATTCATTAAAATAGAGCATCTATCGCTTAGAAATTTGATCTCACTCTCTCGCTCTCTCTCGCTCTCCTTCTTTTTTGATCTCTCGCTCTTTCTCGCTATCTCTCCCCCTCTTTCTCTCAATATTAGGAGCCATTTCAGTCACTCACTCTCTCTCTCTCTCTCTCTCTTTCTCTCCCTCTTCCTCTTACCTCCATAAGATCTTTTTGAACCCTTGATTTTATGGCTATATAAATTTAGTACCCACCCCTCACCTCAAGTTTATACCTTTCTGAGTCACACTCCATTCTTTGAAGATTTTTCCAAAGATTACCAAGGAAATTTTATGCTTTCCGACTCAATATGCAGAAAATTCAAAATTGTTTTCCAGATGACACTCCTCGCATTCGCATCCCGCTCCTACAATTTCCCTGTCAGCTCCCGGCAGCGATATTCGGTGCAGGTGGACGAGCAGCAGTTACGGGATGAGCCGATATATTCGAGGATCGAGAAAGGTGGGGTGGATTTTGGGTTGTCAATGCTTTTAAAACGTAACGGAAATATCTTTTTTAAGAGAAAGCTATTTTGGGGAACTTCGTGCAAATTTGGCGGCATCTTTGAAAAGGAGATAGAGAGAGAGAGAGAGAGAGTGAGAGAGTGAGAGGGAGAAAGAGAGAGAGAGAGAGAGAGAGAGAGAGCGGGTGAGAACGATATTGAAACAACGAAAATATCGTCAATTTGTAGTATTCCATTCCTAAATTCACCAGATCGTGCTCCCCACTCTCTCAATCCATTCCCTAAAACGATAAGATGCATCATCTTGTTGGCCATCATGACTGTACCCTCCATTCGCCCTTCCCCCTCTGAAGCTCTGAAACCACTTCCCCCACCCACTAAAAAATCTGATATCACTATTCCAAAAAGCTTCTCCAGCTCTTGCTCGCTGGCTAATCGATATTATCTGGTTATAGGGGTCTGAGGAACGGTGTGGTCGTGACTAAATTTGTTGATAAGAATTATTCGCTGACTGTGGAATCGGGGGGTTTCTTAGTTTTTTCAGGGTTGACTGACGCATACATTTTGAGTTTTGGCCTGTTTTTCATAAAATTTTGAAGTTATTAGACGGAAAAGTACATTAATTATATAGATTTTTGTCTTCAAATATTGATCTCGTCTAGGTGGGCTTCTTCGCCTTCTTTTTCTTTCCCTTCTCTCCCTGCGATCCCTGCCTTATCGGACCATTTACGGTCTCTTCGATCGGCTTCTTCGATCCCCACGACCCTCTTTCCCCCTTGATATCATTTTCTGAAAAGAAGAAAGGCCAAGAAGAAGCCCTTCCAATCCTTTATTGGCTTTTCAAGCTTGCTCTTTCAGGCGTCTTTTCGGCGCCCCGAAAAAATCCATTTTAATGACCCAGACTATCGGGTTTCCGGTTGCTCCTCTGGGGCTCCTCAATTTCGGGCCTATTTTTGGCAATTTTGAAAGTATGCTGTGTGTTTCCAGGATATTATTAGCATATAAAATTGCTAGAGGGATAATGAAGGGATTGGGAATTTCTGAGGGGTAGATGACAAAGGATTTCCGGTGGCGGCAAGGTGGTCAGAAATTCCGGATTGTACGTTTTTCATATCGTTCTAATTCGCGAGCACTATTTCAAATAAATTCTGACATTATTTTACCTTCAATTCATTGAAGTTAACTTAAAAGCTGCTAGAGATTTTCAAAACAAATCATTTTGCTTTTTTTGATAAAACAAGATTTTCGATGAAAAAGCTAACGAAAAAATTCGGAATACAGAGATAAAAACCTTTAAATTGTTTATGGTTTGAATTTTTTCGCAACAGATTTTCCGCCTTTCCGCTTTTCCCCGAAGCGCTTGTCGTTTTGTTGTTGGCTGTATTTGCTCTGGGGTTTGTCTCGTGTTACCTGCACCAAAGTGCCGCGCGCGGTTCTCTCTCTCTCTCTCTCTCCCTATCTTCATTTTCCCAATTTGGGCCACAAAACGGCGGCCGGGTAAAGGGCCCAGTTGGCCAAACCCATTCCACTAAGCCCCGGCTGGCCCCAGGGCAAATGAGCACGATTATTGTTGCCAGAGGTGTGTTTGGTAAGCTAATCCACTCAACTGACCAGTCAATTCGCTTTAAAGGGTTTGTCAAGTTCTCGTCGAAAATATTATGAAAACCTACGGAATCCGAACCACTCCCCTCTATTCCGCTTTGTAGTCTTATTCCGGAACTTTGTGATATTTTTATGCCAATACTTTCCGCAATAATCCGCAAGATGCCGCCAGATTTCAAATAGTTTTGAAATCAAAATACTAAAAAAAAACTGTGAATTCCGAGCTGCTCCGCTGAAATCCGCCGAAATTTCGCCTAACTTCGTGATCCGATACATGAATATAATAAAATTCCGCGTATCTTCGCAAAGTCCGCTTTAGTTTGGCGAGGTTTTAACCTCTTAAAAACCGAAAATATGCAGTTTCCCCTTGCCGCCCACTTTCGGTCGATTTTGGCGTATCTTGATAGTAAAAAATGGATAAATACTTAAATTCCGAGACTTTCCGCTCAGGCGCCTGGTTTATACGGATTCCGCAGTTATTAAGGAATTTTGGCCATCAAATAGGCTAATTTGCTTCCTTGTAATTCTGTGGTGACTTCCTAGTTAAAAATAAATAAAAAATTTTCGTCCAAGTTCTAATAATTAAAAACTCCCAAAGCTATTTTTCAAGATCCGCCCAGTCACGCAAAAAAGCTGAATCATGTTTTGTCGAATCCGTCATCCCAAAACATCCGAAAATTATTGAATCGAGCAATTCAATTAGTTTCCGTTTTTAACCCTTTTTAAGTCGCCAAATAAATTCACCTGCCAAATCGGCGACTATAGCTTGCAACTCCAAGTCGTCTAGCCTCCCACCCTCCCCTCCAGCCCTCAATAATCAATATTCCTCCACTACATGATTTCAGATCCTCGTCAACGATTCAGTGTGCTCTCCTTTGACTGCAATTCCCTCCGGGACCATCAAAACAATATGGCCATCATGCAACCGTATAATAATAATTATGAAGCGCCGAAAAAAGCCAAGTAAAGATTTTCAAAATTAATATATGGATAGTATTTTCTAGAAATGACAAAATCTCGGCTTTATTGAAGGACTCGGAGCAGGAGAGCGTTAAGAAATATTTGGGGCCAACATTAATGGTAGGTTTTTTCGAAAAAAATGAGAAACAATCCTATTAGTGCGTGGATTCGGGTGTTGTGCAGCTGCTAAAAGTCGAGGACAATGGAAGAGAGCGGAAATGGCAGTTAATGAAGGTAATTCAATTTGATCTATGCCGCCTTCCAATCTAATTAGATTTTAAAATCTTAGCTAGCTATTAAAAAAAACTAGAGTTCAAAAGCCCCTTATTTTCTAATCCACCTAGCGAATGGGATTTCGTGGGTCTCGGCCCCGGCGCGACCATCCCACCCTTCTTCAACCATCCTCCCTCTCCCTCTCCCGTCTGCGACGTGGCTCAGTTGGCAGCGCGGCTGCCTCTGAGGCGTCAGGCCGAGTGATCGGATCCTTGGAATCGCGCGCATACTTTCCATCTTTTGCTTTTTGCCAATTCGTTTTGCTTTTTGATTTTTTTCCGCCGAACACTGGTTTATTCGCTGAATACCAAAGGGGCAAGCGTTTTGCGGGTTTTGATGCTTATTATTTGCTTACCCCTTGCAAAATTCCAACCGGAAAGCACAAAAAAGGTTTCAAAAAAATTAATTTTAAAAGAACCTGGACAAGAATCTAAGCTAAATTTTAATCGCTATTTTCTGTGTATACTTATATAATTTTCCAGCCCGGTTTGGTGATGTATATTCGAGAAAAACGCGGCTGTCCATCGCTACGACTTGTAGATCCAGTGGAAGAAGAACGTGCACGCGAATTGTGGAAACTCGAGTTGTAAGTGAACTTTAAATTGCTAAATTTAATTATTTTCGATGGGACAACTTCATCACCGAGAAGACGGCCAGCCAGTATCTGCTTACGCTACATAATATGGACGGCCAGACGTTTGGGCTGAATTTTTCGGATTTAAACGAGGCAGCGAGCTTTCAGCATTCGGTGGAGATGCAGAGGGAGAGTGGGTTAATTGAAACTAAATTTTTTTTTCGTTAATTCAAATCCATAAAATTAGTACGATTTTCTTTTTTTGTAAAATTTTAAAGCCTAAAATTTTTCATTATTTTGCTTAATAAAAAATCGTTGGGTGATGGTTAATTTTTAGTTCCATAAATTTAATGATTTTAAAGTTATAAAAATGCAATTTTTTTGGCTTCTAAATTTAATGATTTTTAGAACGAGCCAAAAAACGCGACAGCCACGTTGAACAAGCCATTGATGCGCCTATAAGATCCGCACCGGCCCCTCCAAAGATTCCCATGGTAACTCAATTTTAATATGCATTTTATGTATTTATATTTTTTGGAATTAAATATATTTTAAATAATGTTAAGTACCAATTTTCATGTATATTTTTAGTCCCTTTCTGATTCCAACAAATCGCAACAAGCCGAAAACATGCCCCCGGCGTCAATTACTGCGGTTGGAGTACTCCCCCTAGCCAAAGAAGAGAAAAAGAAGAAGAAAAAGGACTGTAAGTCCGAAAAATAATATAAAACAATTGTTTAGCTCTATTAAAAAAATTCCAAAATACTCTGCGTGGCAATGGGAAGAAAAAGAAGCGGCCAGCTTTGACGACCGAGGATATTGGCAATCCGACGAACTTTAGGTAACGGAATTTAGAAATTTAGGGTGATTGAAGGGTCAAATACAAAAATAAAAAATAGAAATAACAAATATATAAAATAATGCTTGGTTCCTTGACAAGGCGAAACTAAAATTTCCAAATTCTTATCCACACTTTTTGTTCGACCCGCCGCCGTAAGGCGACTTCGGTCAGACGGAAGGCCCCATGAGAGGCCTATCCGCAAAAATTATTGCTAATCCTTGAGGATAGCCCTAACATGACACCTCCCGGCTCACCGAAGTGGCCATTGAGGGTGCATCGAACTAGTAACGATGGTGAGACTCGGCCCTTAGCGCATCGGGGTGGTCCAGACGGGGGGCGAGTGGGGACAGGGTAGCGAGCAGGCAGAGAGCACTCATTGGGGGTCTTTTCCCACTACCCCCTAACACCGCTCCAAACAATTATTATAGGCCAATACGTTAAAATTCTATTTCAATCCTCCACTTTCTAGATACAGTTTTTTGGCGCTGAATTCGAATCTGCTGTCCGTTTTCGCCCCCAGATCTATGGTTGCTGAGAGATACGCGTTTTTCGACCAAACTTGCCTAGGTCACGCTAAAAAAGAACACTATCTAGTTTGGAAAGAGGCTGAAACGGCCTCTAATTTGTCTTGCTTTTACCTTCAATCTATGGTTTTGTGAAATGTCAGCGGTTTTAGCCAGCAACTTAGCTTCGGCAACATAACTAGACACAATAATAAAAATACGGTATAAATCGATATTTGTCTATTTATAATCTATTTAAAATCCCTTTCGATTTTCAAAATTTTAGAGTAAAAGCCCATGTCGGATTGGACGATATGCAACAGGAAACGGTGGAAAAGCTGGCGGCTGTGATGAATGTTGATCAAAATGACGAGATTGGAATGGGGATCTTGAGGAGAAATGTGAAAACACATGGCGATCAAATTCGGCAGAGTATGAGACTGGTAATTTGTCTGCATTGGCTCTTAACGTAATTTTAAAGTGGAGTAAAACACCCGGGAAACTGGCAACAAGTCCTATTGGTGCGCCGACAATCCCGGAATATAATGGTGGGTTTGAAAACGTTTTTAATAAATTTTTTATGATTTTAGTGACTTCACAAGATCCGTTGAATGCTTGGGCCGAAAATGGCAAACTTTCCTCCTCGAATTCTGATGAATCGATAGCAAGATCACCGGGTGGCTCGCTGGTTGATGCCAGGAATAGCATGTAATTTTTTTAATAATCTTAATATACAACAATTTGGTACATACATTATTTGATACGTTATTATACTAATTTGGTGCACCTAATTTTTTAATTTTAGAAGGTTAAACAGTGCTAAAGCCGGCCGAAAAACGCCTCACGCCGTCAAGCAAGCAAATCAACCTAAAATAAGCAACGTAGGTTAATAAACTATAAGTTGATGCTTTTTAATTTTGAGTATACGGATATAAAAATCACTATTAATGAGAAAGCCGAAATATATTCGTTTCGAAAACTTTTCAATATTAAAATCAATTTTTCTGCAATTTCAGGGATCCTCAAAACCCGACAACTTTGCCTACCCTTCCACCTCAACGATGAGCACGACTACTGTAATGAATACGGTAGCATCGTGGCAACGGCCCGCTGTGCAACAAGATGTCCCTCCTCCACCAACTCCGGCGAGGACGACAAGCCGGAAAGCTCAAGATTTTAAGGCTGAAAGGTAAGTAGTACTGCATTAAAAGGAATGCTATGGATTCCTATGGATTTTGACGCGCCGCGAAACGGAACGCGACGCGCGGCGCGGCACTTTCGCATCCACCACACGCAACGCGTACACCCGCCTTTTCCTAGCGTAATGGAGCACGGTAGTGTCAAATGCTTGAGCGTTGCGTGTTGCGGGTGCGGCAAAATCCATAACAATACCTTGCCGTCCCTTTAAACAAATTCTGACGCTTTCAGACCTCGCCTGTGGGATCGCGCACCTCCTAAAGAGTACCCAACCATTGCCAAGATTACGGTAGACCAGCCACCTTCACATAATGTGAGAATTTGCTTCTAAAATTTATGACTTCGCCCTAGATACCCGAGATTTCAACATCAGCTCCTCCTCCACCTGGACCTCCACCACCCCCGCCTCCATTGGTAAAAAACTATTTTATAGGTCTTAAAAAAAATGCATTTAGCCTACCGTAACCTCAGCCCCACCACCACCTCCACCTTTGCCTCCATCCACTCCGGCCCCGAAATTGATTATCGAAAAATCGGCTATTCCGAAGGCTACAGAATCGTCCGCTGGACAACCGGCGGATCTGATGGCGGTTTGTAATCTTTATTTAAAAGGATTGAACGCTATTTTAACGATTTAAAGCGCCTTAGGCTTAGGCCTAAGCTTAGGCCTAGGCTTCGTTAGCTTAAGCTTCAACTTTAAATTCTCATTTTCAGGCAATCCGCAACTTCTCCTCGAGCTCAGCCCTCAAAGCTGTGAGCCCGACCTCAGAAAAAGCGCCAACGACCCCGATCACCTCGCCAGGAGATTCCATTTTATTATCGATCCAGGAGCAATTAAGCAAAAGAAGATTTCAAATCGAATCGGAGACTGAATCTGAAGGTTTGAGACAATTTATTATGGCTGAAAAAGCGCGGTTTTTTAGATGAGTCTTCCGGTTCTGATTGGGAGGAGGACTGAAAATGGAGGGGAGGAAGGAGTGACTCAGTTTAACATTTGGCTTTATATTAGCATTTGCCGAATTTATAGGTGCAATAAATGTTTTGACAAGATAAAAACGGGAAGGACATTCGAAATTCCGTAATGCCAGAATGCCGACAACCAAAGACCGACAGATTAGATGTTGAAAAGCCATCGAGAAGACCGTAAAAAATTGACAACCAAGAATACCGACACAAAATGCGACAGATTAGATGGTGGCAAGAAATGATAGACATAAAAATGCCGACAATCAAGAATGCCGACAACAAACAAAAGTCAAATATAAATTAAATTCGTTTTATCTAGCATAATTTCACCCTTTTAACGCCGGAATCCTGATTGTCGATATTTTCGCTCGCGGTATTTTGGCTGTCGGCATTTTACCTCGTCGGCATTCTAGCTAAATCACTTAATATTGCTGTTGGGCGGGATAGTTGGTGTAAGCAGCATATTCAGGATAGAGAGAAATCTCGCTGGTGGCGGCGAGAGGGACCGAAGTCGGGGTCGGGCTCGACTTCTTGGCTGCGAACTTCGATTCAAAATACAGGAATAGGGCCAGAATAACGCGAATTAGCTGAAATATATTTTTTAAAGTCCGATTGCGCGAGGATACCTCGAATACCGTAGGCAGCAAAATCACCAGAATCAGCGCTGACTTGGCCTCGTACTAAAAGCGTGTCTAACGCAGATAGCTAACTTACAAGGTTGTCTTCCATCCGCATTTGCCGCAGGTACTGTATCTGCGCGCGGTCTATTTCCGGTTTCTCAAGGCAAACCACCACGTAGAGCAGCACGAACGATCCGATGAAGATTTCGACTATCTAAAAAGGTTTATCTCTAATTTTTCGTCGACGCCAAAAATCCACCGTCATCCCTTCCGTAACCCTTTAAAAGCCAAAAATAACAAACCCCGACAAGTAAAGTAGGAATCAACAAAGATCCCTTCTTCTTACAGGCCCCAACCAGGGACATGATCGTAAAAAGCAGATAAATGGCCGAGGCGACAGCAGCGATGATATGGAGATCAAGACGGTATGGCTGAGGTACGTTTCGATACTAATGACGGTCTCTTTAAACCTACCAGATCCATATCTCTCATGATTTTCCTTAAATCTGAACCATCACAGAAGTCGGGGACATTTTCGCCAGCGCATTTCCTAAAAAAGAAATCAATAAAAGTCATGGTTCTTTCGCACTAACGGGAGGGGAAGTTGTTTCTAAGGATCGGTTTTTCTAATCTAAGTAAAGTTTTCTTTTCTAAACGTTTCAATGCTATCCCGAAACGTCGAAACTCTAGAACTTTCTTAAACGACAAAAATATCCGATTTTCGAGAAAAAAGACCGAATTTCATTCAAAATTTCAAATTTTTAAATTTTTCACTATTTACTTAATTTTTATAGTCGATAAATAGTTATAATTTGTCAAAAAGTTTAAAAAATACTTCCCACTACGCTACAAGGCATTTCCTGAGCTGTAGCAAAAAGTTTGCCCCCCCCCCCCCCCCGAAAATGCAAAAGAACCAAATCTGATTACAAAGTTACTTACCAGGAATAGATGGCCAAAAAGATGTTGCTTCCCAACATGCTGATGCAGCTGAACAACACGGCCAGCGTGATCAGGATGTAACTTGCCTAGAACGTCGTAGAGCTTAGCTCACGGTAGATTTTACTTACGGCTAGGCAACCCATTTTTTAGGAATATTTGAATTGAATTGGAGTGAATTGGAGGGAATCGACAAACTGAAATGCTCCGCTTTCTCTCGCAGTCGAAATGTTTAGTCTTCAGAATTTAGTCATGACCCCCGTCAAAGGGCAAAACCTTCGCATCATTAAAATAAATTTTGAAATGACGGCCACGTCGTGCTAAAATTATTGCGTGATTAAATTCCGAGCATAACTTTGATATTTTGGCCTGTAACGACGAGACAAAATAAAGAAATATTTTCTTCGATCACGCAATTGATATGTAAACAGCGAAAACTCCGTGAAAATTCCGATTTTTCAATCTTGTTTTGCATTCCAAACACCTGTATTTCATTTGTAAAGCGGTAAACGTCTCACCAATACATTACAAAGCAAATTAATGAGTAAAACATCGCCAAATTACCTTCGCCAAATAGTTTTTGGTGGTTTTCGACCCGAAAGATGTTTGCCAGTTTTCTGAGAATAATCTCAAAAGATGCGCCAAACAATTCTGCATCGAATGATGTATTTTGTACTCAAGATATATCACCGTTTATCGGCGAAAAAGCGGGAAAAGACAAATGCTCGGTCCGCGCCCCCGACACGCCCCCCGACCTGGCCCACCCCAAAAACATAAGGGTCGACCCTCGGAGGGCAAGCGATTTGTTATTACTCAATGTATAATCCAATAAATTTGAACTGGGAGCCGAAATGACGCAGTTTTTTTCAGATTTAAATAGGGGAAATGTTTTAAACATTTTTTTGTAATTCCTAAGCGTAAATACTTTACAGATTTCTACTCACATATTAAAAAATGTCGATTTTTCAGCGAAAAATGGGCCCTAAACATTTTCGCGAATGTTGTTGGAGGTTTTGCACTTCAAAAATAGTTAAATTTTACGAATACCACTATTATAGTACTTTTTATTGCGTCACTAAGCATTCCAAGCGTTCCATTCCATTCCATTGTAATCGTTTATTTCAGGACGAAATGTTTGGCAAGCCGACCGTCGCGGGCTGTAGTGGTAGTATTGCAGTAATAATATAATTATACATAAATAGCTGAATTTCAACATTAAAATCATGTAAAAACAATAATAATAATCGCCATTTTATTGTGCCATCCCGGCCCTACCCTCAAACTTGGGTAATTGAACCGAAAAGGGGCGGAGCTTCGCGTGACCCCAAAAGGCAACAGGACCAGATGAACAACTCTTGCTTTCAGTGTCCGTGTCAGCTTCTAGCTGTTTTGATATTTCTGCGGGGTTCTTTGGCATTATCGGGGGGGGGGGACCAATTTTTTTTCTAAGGCTTGATTTTTTGGCATAGAGATAACGGAAATGTTTTTAAACTGTTTTTTCCCTTGTTCAAAAACCAAAAACTGTAAAGATTTCGATTAGAAAAACGTAAAAAAATATCGATTTTTCAACCAAAAGTGGCCAACTTCGACCAAAGTTTCTACCTTTTTTTGAAGCTTTTAGATAGTTTTTCTCGTTTCTAACTAAAAATACTTGTAAAATACTTCCTCTTAGGTTATTGCCTGGTTCTACATAATTTCTAGATTTCGTCCAAATTATCGCTTTGTATGGTTCGCTTTGTTTACATGGGCATTAAACTTTTCAGGGTTTTTCAGAGCGCAGGAGCAGGTAGCAAAGAACCCGAAAACTATTTTTACGAGCTATATTGCTGTGTTGCGGCGATTTTCGTGCTCTGCGGGGTGATCTGTTCGATTTACAAGCATTTTTTCCCTTTATTTATTTACTTTATTCCTTGCGTTTTCCAGGAATCCGGGGAAAGAAAATGAAAAAATTATTTTCGAAAAATTTACAAAAAAAGAGCAAAAAATCGGATTTCCAAAAAAATTCAAATAGATGCAAATTAGGATTTTCGAAAAATTTACAAAAAAGAGCCAAAAATGGGATTTTCGCAAACGAAAAAAAGAGAAAACGATCGGATTCTGGAAAAATTTCGTGGGACGAAGAGGAACAAAAAAAAATCGCGGGACGATGGGGCTAGTACTCTAAAGAATATTGATAGAACAAATAATTAAATTACTTTGATGCCGCGATGGTCCCGGTCCTTCCGCTTCGTCGTGTTCCTGCTGGCGTTTCCTTTCCTCGTACTTGCGGTTGTCCTCCTCCCATTTCCGGGTGCCCGGCCACCCCTCGGGCACCCGGTCCGTCATCAGTAATCTAAATTAAAGGTTTTGATTTGTTTTTGGCTATAAATTGCCCGACAGAGCGCAGAGCGGCTTCTAACAAGCCTGGGGATTTTGGGTCAAAAAAAAACTCATTTTTCAATTTTTCGAAATTCCCTCCACCTACCGTATCTCGGCTGCCCGTTATCCTACCGAGTTGTAAAGCATACCAAAATACTCGCCAGAGCAAGGCGAACATTTTGTTATATTTCACACACCTGTACGATGACGGGCAGCCGAGATACAAAAGTGGGGGGCGGTAAACGGCAGTATACGATATTTTGATCTCAAATTGTCTAAGGTTCTTATCCTCAACAACCAGTGGAAAAAGGCCGCTTCGCGGCCATTTTCCACTGGACCCCGTCTAGGAATCATGAATCTGAATACATTCTTCTTTTAGCCTGCGGCGCAAGAGTCTGAGTAATGACGCCATGATTTGGCCTGCGGCGCTAGAGCCAGCGTTCCGCTAGAACCTTTGAGCCTGCGGCGCTAGTTACTGCTTTTTCTCCAGGATCTGGCCTGCGGCGCGAGAGCCTGGGTTCAAGGACTTTCTCTTGGGCCTGCGGCGCTAGAGCGAGGGCCAGGCCTAAACCTCGCATACCGAGAGCCTAGAAATATGTTTAGTTGCTAAACCACCAAAAAGCAAAAAGTTAGATTTGCCCAGGATCCGAACCCACGATCATAGGCGTGGCAGGCCGGGCGTAAATCCACTACACCATGGGGTAGATGGGATCAGGCGGGGGGAAAGCCCTCTTCTGTTCCGGGGAAAGGGCGGGGAGGCAAAGAAAGGGCCGACCCAATGCCCCGGAAGGGAGGCCTTCTGGTCACTTTACAAAATTAAGTTTTTGAGTCTTAATCGGCAGAAAATTTGTAAAGATAATAAGATGCGCGTGATCCCCACTATTGAATACATAACTGGTCCAAATTTCAGCTCGAAATTCCAAATGCGAATCGAGTTATGCCCCGGACACCACGGCCAATGGCCCATTTTGTTAAGGATTTTCACTATTTTGCTTGTAAAACCGTTAAATGAAAGAATTTCGCAAAACAAAAAAAAGCGTGTCTGACAAATGTGGTTCTTCACCTTCATGCCAAAAATCAGCTCAAAATTCGGCCTCACGGCCGAGAAATCCTCATTACAGAAAACAGACATACTTTTCTCGCTTATAGGATAGGATAAAAAAAAACAATTTAAAAACGCAGCAGCTATTAATTTTATAAATTTAATAAAAATTCAAATAGCGCGTTAAAAAGAACTTTTTTAGAGAAAATCTAAACCGCGAAGATTAACGTTTTAAACTTTGTTTTTGGTTCTAAACAGGATGCAAAAGACTCTTGCAAACAATTTGAAAAGGTGAAATTCTTACTCAAAGCAGGCTTTTCGAAGCTCCCGGTTTCTCTCGTAGGTGGCGTGGTCCATGTCGCAGCGAGCCTAAACGCGGGATAATGCTACAACTTAGAAACTGACAATATTCCGCTCCACCGCCAGGTTCCGGTTGTGCGCCTGCGAGTCCTCGAGCATCGCCTTCAGGTCTTCCAGTTTCTTGTCCTGCCAGGATTGTAGAAAGTGAAGGCGTGGGTTCACTTCATCTCCCCCCCCCCCCACCCACAAGGTCCCAAAGGCTTCGATATTTACGAGATTTTTCGGGATTTGTTTGTGTTATTCGTCGGAGCATCAAAAAATAGACTAAAAGTCAATATATTGTAATATAAAACGGCTATAGCGAAAATAACAAATAAATTATAAAATGGGGTTACAGAAGACGGTTTTCGATATTTTCACTATTTTTTTGTGCCATCTGTTAGAGCATCAAAAATTGAAAAGAAGTCTTTATGGCAGCTCAAAAAATTCTATTATAGAATAGTTAAAGCAAAAATTATAGCAGAAACGCAGAATACCTCTAAAATGGGGTTAAAAAGCTAGTTTTCAGCTATTTCGCTATTTTTTTTGCGACATTTTCGATAGCTTCATTAGATTCATTCGGTCGAGAAATTTGAAAAATATCGTCAGAGTTTCAATTTTAGCCGAAAATAATGTAATATAAGATAGTTACCGCAAAAACCAGCAAAATCCAGATAACCCGTCAAAATCTATTTTAATTTAATTTTAATTTTATAAATCTAAAGGATTATTGGGAAAAATTCGTTTCTCCTCTTGACCGCCGCCTCCCTCCTGCTAATAGGGTAGTACCAAGGATCGTCCAATTTCATCTCATTCCGGCCCAAAGCCAGGTTTTTTGGCATTATCGGGGGGAGAACTTATCCAATAAATTTACATATTCCAGTAAAAAATACAAAAATATTGAATTTTCGACCAAAAATGTTTCAGATTTTTGCATAATTGAACAATCTGAAACTTTGACTTGAACAATACTTTTAAAATGTTATCTTTTAGATCTTACTTGGTTTAAAAATTTTGCCGAAGTTTTGCTTCATTGTTTTTAGCCGCTTACTATGATTATTGTATTAAATTATATCAGGTTACGAAGCATTTCTGGACTTAACCCCCCCGGTATTGCAAAAGCGCCCCAAGCCACCATAAAAGAAATGATGGGAAATAGGAAAATTCTGATTGTTTCCTAACAGACAGCAAACAATAAGAACTAACAAAATTTCAGAAAAAGTGAACCTAGTATCGAAAATGGCAATTTTTCGCAAATCTGATGGAGATGTGACCGTCTGGGGGACATTTACGTCTAACGACAGACAGACAGACAGACAGACAGACAGACAGAGAGACAGACAGCCAGACAGACAGACAATAGACAAACAAACATTATTCTTAAATATAAAGTAAAATAAGGCAAACCTGCTTCTCGAGCTTTTCCTTGGCCGCCTCCAGCTCTTCCTGGAAAAAGCAAATTAGTTTAAAGCCACACCTTGGGTATAAACCTGGTTCTTTTGCATTAGCGGTGGGGGGGGCAATTGTGATAAAGATATAGTTACTACGTCACTAGGCATATCTGGACTACTTTACTTTATCCTCCCCCAGCCGCAGGTCCCAAAATGTTTTTCGCTATAACTTTTTTATCTTACATTTATTTGGGCTGTAATTAAAACTTCTTATATTTTTTGATGCTCTATCGTATTGCTTAGCGAAAACCACGAAAAATGGTTGGAATTGTCGAACATTTTTGGGAGTTTCCCGTTGGGGTCAAAGTAAAGGCTAACCGAAAAGAGCCCCCCCCCCGCTAGTGCCAAAGAACCAAAAAAATTAAAAAGCCTACTTGCAGTCTAAATTGCTCTCGCATCGAAACCCTGCGCTCGTTCTAAAAAAGGTTTTAATATATAAATGTAAGAATTGAACTTACGTCCTGGTGCTGGTCGGCCATGTTGATGATGTTGTTGATGTTGTTGTTGCTGTTGTTGTCGTCGTTGAAGCGGATCTGCTATAAAATAATCATCAACAAATTATGCTAAGAAAGCTTTATTGTAATAATAGAGATGAAAAAGTTAACATTTTCATCAAAAATACAAAATATCGACTTTTCAACCCCAATAAATCAGCTATTTCGACGGAAATAGCACATGTGTTTTGGTAAAAGCCCAGATTTTTCGATCAATATATAACGGTTTTTTACATTACGTTTAATCATCCCTGAACCTAAAAACCTTAGAAATATTATTTAAAAATTCGATTTTAGGTTTTAGGTCAGGATTTAGGTTAAATTAAACGGACTTTTTGGACCTAAAATGATCTAAAATTTTGAATTTTACAAACATTTTCTAACGGTTTAAGAAGGGTTCCTATTTAAAATGTGACTACTATTGAAAGTTTTAGGACGTTCGGGGGATTAGAAGGAAAGGGTGTTGAGCTTAAGCTTAGGCTTAAACTTCGTCTTCGGCTTCGGCTTATATTAGGTCTGGCTTAGTCTTACGCTTAAGCTCAGGCTCAGCTCAGGCTTAGGTTTCGCTTAGGCTTAGGCTTATTATCAGGCTTCGGCTTAGTCTTCGGCTCAGAACAGGCTTAGGCTGAGATTAGGATCGGCTTAGGCTTGGGCTTAGATTCAGCGTGGATTAGGTTAGGCTTAGGCTTAGATTAGGCTTGGCGTAGGCTTAGACTCAGGCTTCGGCTTAAGTTTCGCTTTAAGCTTGGGCTTAGGTTAGGCTTAGGCTTGCTTGGCTTAGTCTTAGGCATTAGATTGCTTAGGCTTAGGCTGTGGCTTGGACTTAGGTTTAGGCTTAGGCTTAGGATTAGATTTAGATTGGGTGGCTTAGGGTTCGGCTTAGGCGCAGAGGGATAAAGGCAAGTCTTGGACCAGCCGTTTTATATAGACAGGTCCGGTGGGCGACTTCATCTATATTCAGTGTCGCTGTTTGGAGGGCTGTTATGGTCGGAAATTCCGGTTGATCCGTATTCAGTTGAGCCTTCCGGTTGATCGGTATTCAGTTGGGGGGCGCCGGGTTCATTCGATATTCCGTCGGGCTCTTAGATCGCGCGTTTCTCCGGCCGACAAACATCTTGCGAAATACCGACTGTATGAGTGGGTGGGAATAACATGTCAGCGTCTTCCCAATACGCTCGGCAGAAAAGGCGGCAAAAAGAACGATTTTTGAGGCAATAGCTGTAGCCTATAAGCTCACAAATTCTTAGTAACGTAATATTAAATGCCTCAATAGTGCTTCAGTAAATTTAACTATAAATGAAGTGAAACTAAAACATGAAACCCTAGAAATTTCTTTGTTGTTGCGCTTTTGGTGAAAAAATTGCGTTTTTTTATATTTCGCAATCAAAATTCGAAATTTTACGTTTAGGTCTAGTAAAAAATAGCCTAGAAACACTTAGAACAATGGAATTCTCGGCAAAAAAATTGGGGTTTCCCTCGATAATGGAGAAGAACCAAAAATTGAAATCAGAAATTGAGAAGCTGCTGTCAGAGACAGACAGAGATCATCTGCTGTATGTATCGCCCCTCTCCCCTCAACACGGGAACCCTTAGTTTAGGAGTTCTTCGGCTTAGTTTTGGGCATAGGCTTAGGCTTAGATTAGGCCTGGCTTCGTCTCAGACTTAGATTAGGCTTGGTTTAGGCTTCGATAACAAAAAAACCCTAGAAATTTCGTTGATTTTGCGATTTTGGTGGGAAATAGGCTTGGCTTAGGCTTAGTCTGAGGCTTACATTAGGCTTGGTTTAGGCTTATTAAGATTTGGCTTAGGCTTGCTTGGCTTAGTCTCAGGCTTAGATTAGGCTTCGGCTTAGGCTTCTATAACAAAAAACCCTAGAAATTGCTTTGATGTTGCAATTTTGGAGGAAAAACCTATTTTCAAATCTAAATTTTGAGTTTAGAATTTAGCGACAGTTCGAATATTTAATTTATAGTAGAAAAATGGAATCCTCGGAAAAACAAATTGGTTCCCCCCCCCCCGATAAGGCAAAAGAACGAAAAATCGAAGTAAGCATCTGAGAGTGGGAAGCTGCTGACAGGCGATTGCGAGGGAAGCTGAATCTGCCAGCTTGTTGTGAGAGCATCGTATTTCCCCCTAGATTCGATTTATATTCATTTCGATTGTTTTCGTCGTGTTTTCAACCTCAATATGGACACAAATATTTATAAAATTTGTTTTTAGTACCGGTGTACCCTTCTTCTACGACGATTACGTCAACAACAAATAGGTCGTCAACACGAATCGAGCCTAGCTTAGGCTTAGAATTAATGAGATGTCGGACGTAGACGAAAGCTTAGGCTTAGGCTTAGGCTGACTTAGGTTTAGGTTTGCAACCGATTGGCTTATGCTGTCCTTACCTCTTTAAATGGTTATCTAATGCATTACCAAGCACGAAAAAGCGGAGAATATGCCTGAATCGCGTTCAGCAAAGAGTTTTTCAAGGATTTCTATCTGAAATGAAATGTTAGCGTGCTGAAAATGGTCTCAAAAGATGCGCCAGACAATTCTGCATCGAATGGTGAGTTTTGTGCCTTAAATACACAGCTGTTTATGGGCGAAAAAGCGATAAAAGACAAATGCTCGGTCCGCGCCCCCGACACGCCCCCCGACCTGGCCCACCCCAAAAACATAAGGGTCGACCCTCGGAGGGCAAGCGATTTGTTATTACTCAATGTATAATCCAATAAATTTGAACTGGGAGCCGAAATGACGCAGTTTTTTTCAGATTTAAATAGGGGAAATGTTTTAAACATTTTTTTGTAATTCCTAAGCGTAAATACTTTACAGATTTCTACTCACATATTAAAAAATGTCGATTTTTCAGCGAAAAATGGGCCCTAAACATTTTCGCGAATGTTGTTGGAGGTTTTGCACTTCAAAAATAGTTAAATTTTACGAATACCACTATTATAGTACTTTTTATTGCGTCACTAAGCATTCCAAGCGTTCCATTCCATTCCATTGTAATCGTTTATTTCAGGACGAAATGTTTGGCAAGCCGACCGTCGCGGGCTGTAGTGGTAGTAAGGCAGTAATAATATAATTATACATAAATAGCTGAATTTCAACATTAAAATCATGTAAAAACAATAATAATAATCGCCATTTTATTGTGCCATCCCGGCCCTACCCTCAAACTTGGGTAATTGAACCGAAAGGGGGCGGGGCTTCGGGTGACCCCAAAAGGCAACAGGACCAGATGAACAACTCTTGCTTTCAGTGTCCGTGTCAGCTTCTAGCTGTTTTGATATTTCTGCGGGGTTCTTTGGCATTATCGGGGGACCAATTTTTTTTCTAAGGCTTGATTTTTTGGCATAGAGATAACGGAAATGTTTTTAAACTGTTTTTTCCCTTGTTCAAAAACCAAAAACTGTAAAGATTTCGATTAGAAAAACGTAAAAAAATATCGATTTTTCAACCAAAAGTGGCCAACTTCGACCAAAGTTTCTACCTTTTTTTTGAAGCTTTTAGATAGTTTTTCTCGTTTCTAACTAAAAATACTTGTAAAATACTTCCTCTTAGGTTATTGCCTGGTTCTACATAATTTCTAGATTTCGTCCAAATTATCGCTTTATATGGTGCGCCTTGTTTACATGGGCATTAAACTTTTCAGGGTTTTTTAGAGCGCAGGAGCAGGTAGCAAAAATCCCGAAAACTATTTTTTACGAGCTATATTGCTGTGTTGCGGCGATTTTCGTGATCTGCGGGGTGATCGGTTCGATTTACAAGCATTTTTTCCCTTTATTTATTTACTTTATTCTTTGCGCTTTCCAGTCTTCCGGGAAAAAAATGAAAAACAGATTTTCGAAAAATTTACAAAAAAAAGAGCAAAAGATCGGATTTTCAAAAAAAAAACCAAATAGATGAAAATTAGGATTTTCGAAAGATTTACAAAAAAAGAGCCAAAAAACGGATTTTCGCAAACGAAAAAAGAGAACACCATCGGATTCTCGAAAAATTCAAATGGAGGAAAATTTGGATTTTCGAAAAATTTACAAAAAAGAGCCAAAAATCGGATTTTCGCAAACGAAAAAAGAGAACACCATCGGATTCTCGAAAAATTCAAATGGAGGAAAATTAGGATTTTTGGAAAATTTACAAAAAAGAGCCAAAAATCGGATTTTCGCAAACGAAAAAAGAGAACACCATCGGATTCTCGAAAAATTCAAATGGAGGAAAATCTGGATTTTCGAAAAATTTACAAAAAAGAGCCAAAAATCGGATTTTCGCAAACGAAAAAAGAGAACACCATCGGATTCTCGAAAAATTCAAATGGAGGAAAATTAGGATTTTTCAAAAATTTACAAAAAAGAGCCAAAAATCGGATTTTCGCAAACGAAAAAAGAGAACACCATCGGATTCTCGAAAAATTCAAATGGAGGAAAATTAGGATTTTTGGAAAATTTACAAAAAAGAGCCAAAAATCGGATTTTCGCAAACGAAAAAGAGAACACCATCGGATTCTCGAAAAATTCAAATGGAGGAAAATTAGGATTTTTGGAAAATTTACAAAAAAGAGCCAAAAATCGGATTTTCGCAAACGAAAAAAGAGAACACCATTGGATTCTCGAAAAATTTCGTGGGACGAAGAGGAACAAAAAGAAATCGCGGGACGATGGGGCTAGTACTCTAAAGAATATTGATAGAACAAATAATTAAATTACTTTGATGCCGCGATGGTCCCGGTCCTCCCGCTTCGTCGTGTTCCTGCTGGCGTTTCCTTTCCTCGTACTTGCGGTTGTCCTCCTCCCATTTCCGGGTGCCCGGCCACCCCTCGGGCACCCGGTCCGTCATCAGTAATCTAAATTAAAGGTTTTGATTTGTTTTTGGCTATAAATTGCCCGACAGAGCGCAGAGCGGCTTCTAACAAGCCTGGGGATTTTGGGTCAAAAAAAAAATCATTTTTCAATTTTTCGAAATTCCCCTCCACCTACCGTATCTCGGCTGCCCGTTATCCTACCGGGTTGTAAAGCATACCAAAATACTCGCCAGAGCAAGGCGAACATTTTGTTATATTTCACACACCTGTACGATGACGGGCAGCCGAGATACAAAAGTGGGGGGGGGGGCGGTAAACTGCAGTCTACCATATTTTGATCTCAAATTGTCTAAGGTTCTTATCCTCAACAATAAAAAAACAATTTAAAAACGCAGCAGCTATTAATTTTATGAATTTAATAAAAATTCAAATAGCACGTTAAAAAGAACTTTTTTAGAGAAAATCTAAACCGCGAAGATTAACGTTTTAAACTTTTGTTTTTGGTTCTAAACAGGATGCAAAAGACTCTTGCAAACAATTTGAAAAGGTGAAATTCTTACTCAAAGCAGGCTTTTCGAAGCTCCCGGTTTCTCTCGTAGGTGGCGTGGTCCATGTCGCAGCGAGCCTAAACGCGGGATAATGCTACAACTTAGAAACTGACAATATTCCGCTCCACCGCCAGGTTCCGGTTGTGCGCCTGCGAGTCCTCGAGCATCGCCTTCACGTCTTCCAGTTTCTTGTCCTGCCAGGATTGTAGAAAGTGAAGGCGTGGGTTCACTTCATCTCCCCCCCCCCCCCCCCACCCAGAAGGTCCCAGACGCGTCGAATTTACGAGATTTTTCGGGATTTGTTTGTGTTATTCGTCGGAGCATCAAAAAATAGACTAAAAGTCAATATATTGTAATATAAAACGACTATAGCAAAAATAACAAATAAATTATAAAATGGGGTTACAAAAGACGGTTTTCGATATTTTCACTATTTTTTGTGCCATCTGTTAGAGCATCAAAAATTGAAAAGAAGTCTTTATGGCAGCTCAAAAAATTCTATTATAGAAAAGTTAAAGCAAAAATTATAGCAGAAACGCAGAATACCTCTAAAATGGGGTTAAAAAGCCAGTTTTCAGCATTTTCGCTATTTTTTGCGACATTTTCGATAGCTTCATTAGATTCATTCGGTCGAGAAATTTGAAAAATATCGTCAGAGTTTCAATTTTAGCCGAAAATAATGTAATATAAGATAGTTACCGCAAAAACCAGCAAAATCCAGATAACCCGTCAAAATCTATTTTAATTTAATTTTAATTTTATAAATCTAAAGGATTATTGGGAAAAATTCGTTTCTCCTCTTGACCGCCGCCTCCCTCCTGCTAATAGGGTAGTACCAAGGATCGTCCAATTTCATCTCATTCCGGCCCAAAGCCAGGTTTTTTGGCATTATCGGGGGGGAGAACTTATCCAATAAATTTACATATTCCAGTAAAAAATACAAAAATATTGAATTTTCGACCAAAAATGTTTCAGATTTTTGCTTAATTGAACAATCTGAAACTTTGACTTGAACAATACTTTTAAAATGTTATCTTTTAGATCTTACTTGGTTTAAAAATTTTGCCGAAGTTTTGCTTCATTGTTTTTAGCCGCTTACTATGATTATTGTATTAAATTATATCAGGTTACGAAGCATTTCTGGACTTAACCCCCCCCCCCCCCCGGTATTGCAAAAGCGCCCCAAGCCACCATAAAAGAAATGATGGGAAATAGGAAAATTCTGATTGTTTCCTAACAGACAGCAAACAATAAGAACTAACAAAATTTCAGAAAAAGTGAACCTAGTATCGAAAATGGCAATTTTTCGCAAATCTGATGGAGATGTGACCGTCTGGGGGACATTTACGTCTAACGACAGACAGACAGACAGACAGACAGGCAGACAGACAGAGAAATGAAGGAAGACAGACGGACAGAGAGACAGACAGACAACAGACAAAGAGAGACAGACAGACAGACAGACAGACAGACAACAGACAAACAAACATTATTCTTAAATATAAAGTAAAATAAGGCAAACCTGCTTCTCGAGCTTTTCCTTGGCCGCCTCCAGCTCTTCCTGGAAAAAGCAAATTAGTTTAAAGCCACAGCTTGGGTATAAACCTGGTTCTTTTGCATTAGCGGGGGGGCAATTGTGATAAAGATATAGTTACTACGTCACTAGGCATATCTGGACTACTTTACTTTATCCTCCCCCAGCCGCAGGTCCCAAAATGTTTTTCGCTATAACTTTTTTATCTTACATTTATTTGGGCTGTAATTAAAACTTCTTATATTTTTTGATGCTCTATCGTATTGCTTAGCGAAAACCACGAAAAATGGTTGGAATTGTCGAACATTTTTGGGAGTTTCCCGTTGGGGGCAAAGTAAAGGCTAACCGAAAGAGGCCCCCCCCGCTAGTGCCAAAGAACCAAAAAAATTAAAAAGCCTACTTGCAGTCTGAATTGCTCTCGCATCGAAACCCTGCGCTCGTTCTAAAAAAGGTTTTAATATATAAATGTAAGAATTGAACTTACGTCCTGGTGCTGGTCGGCCATGTTGATGATGTTGTTGATGTTGTTGTTGTCGTCGTTGAAGCGGATCTGCTATAAAATAATCATCAACAAATTATGCTAAGAAAGCTTTATTGTAATAATAGAGATGAAAAAGTTAACATTTTCATCAAAAATACAAAATATCGACTTTTCAACCCCAATAAATCAGCTATTTCGACGGAAATAGCACATGTGTTTTGGTAAAAGCCCAGATTTTTCGATCAATATATAACGGTTTTTTACATTACGTTTAATCATCCCTGAACCTAAAAACCTTCGAAATATTATTTAAAAATTCGATTTTAGGTTTTAGGTCAGGATTTAGGTTAAATTAAACGGACTTTTTGGACCTAAAATGATCTAAAATTTTGAATTTTACAAACATTTTCTAACGGTTTAAGAAGGGTTCCTATTTAAAATGTGACTACTATTGAAAGTTTTAGGACGTTCGGGGGATTAGAAGGAAAGGGTGTTGAGCTTAAGCTTAGGCTTAAACTTCGTCTTCGGCTTCGGCTTATATTAGGTCTGGCTTAGTCTTACGCTTAAGCTCAGGCTCAGCTCAGGCTTAGGTTTCGCTTAGGCTTAGGCTTATTATCAGGCTTCGGCTTAGTCTTCGGCTCAGAACAGGCTTAGGCTGAGATTAGGATCGGCTTAGGCTTGGGCTTAGATTCAGCGTGGATTAGGTTAGGCTTAGGCTTAGATTAGGCTTGGCGTAGGCTTAGACTCAGGCTTCGGCTTAAGTTTCGCTTTAAGCTTTGACTTAGGTTAGGCTTAGGCTTGCTTGGCTTAGTCTTAGGCATTAGATTGCTTAGGCTTAGGCTGTGGCTTGGACTTAGGTTTAGGCTTAGGCTTAGGATTAGATTTAGATTGGGTGGCTTAGGGTTCGGCTTAGGCGTAGAGGGATAAAGGCAAGTCTTGGACCAGTCGTTTTATATAGACAGGTCCGGTGGGCGACTTCATCTATATTCAGTGTCGCTGTTTGGAGGGCTGTTATGGTCGGAAATTCCGTTTGATCCGTCTTCAGTTGAGCCTTCCGGTTGATCGGTATTCAGTTGGGGGGCGCCGGGTTCATTCGATATTCCGTCGGGCTCTTAGATCGCGCGTTTCTCCGGCCGACAAACATCTTGCGAAATACCGACTGTATGAGTGGGTGGGAATAACATGTCAGCGTCTTCCCAATACGCTCGGCAGAAAAGGCGGCAAAAATAACGATTTTTGAGGCAATAGCGGTAGCCTATAAGCTCACAAATTCTTAGTAACGTAATCTTAAATGCCTCAATAGTGCTTCAGTAAATTTAACTATAAATGAAGTGAAACTAAAACATGAAACCCTAGAAATTTCTTTGTTGTTGCGCTTTTGGTGAAAAAATTGCGTTTTTTTATATTTCGCAATCAAAATTCGAAATTTTACGTTTAGGTCTAGTAAAAAAGAGCCAGAAACACGTAGAACAATGGAATTCTCGGCAAAAAATTGGGGTTTCCCTCGATAATGCAGAAGAACCAAAAATTGAAATCAGAAATTGAGAAGCTGCTGTCAGAGACAGACAGAGATCATCTGCTGTATGTATCGCCCCTCTCCCCTCAACACGGGAACCCTTAGTTTAGGAGTTCTTCGGCTTAGTTTTGGGCATAGGCTTAGGCTTAGATTAGGCCTGGCTTACATGTAGAGGTTGTCAGGTCACAAGCTCCAAACCGGCTGAAAATTGGTGGAAAAATCGAATAAAATACGGGGAACACGATGCGACAAAAATTATCTACTAATGGGCACTTTTGTTTAATAAACTTTTAATTTTAAGTAAGAAAAATGAAGGGAAAATGGACTTTCAGCGGATTAATCGGGCTGTCGGCCTCGGAATAAATGTTTCGATCGAATTGCCACGGAAAGTACAACACTCGGTACCTTCCCACACCCGGAAAAAAAATTATTTGAAAAAATTTTTCCACGAAAATTTTGACGACCCCTCGCATAGCTTTGGCCGCTAGGTGGGTTATCGGCTGCTTAAAATAGTTAGTTCTGACCCCGGGTGTTTAAAATTGAGCCCAAAGATTCCAGATTCCGATAATGACTGCTTGTTTACAATACCTGTACAAAAACTAATCTGTATAAACTATCCTGTCGATTTTTATGGGGTCGGAATAGGTAGGTAGGCCTTTTTTGCAAAACTTCCAAAATTTTGTAATTTCTTTTTTGTCGAGACGTCCGCTACTGATTAATAGGACCGACAAACATTATAAAAACTATTCTAGACGCGCTCCCTACAAATAAAAAGCAAAAACGGCAAAAAGCAAAAAAAAATAAAAAATGCGGGAACCGAACCCATGACCTTTGGCCTACTATTCCCCGCACCCTACCCCTACACCACCCGACCGACGGGCAAGGCCCCTTGGGGAGGCTTCAAGACCTCGGGCCTGCGCGCCCTGGTTCTGGCCAGGCTAGCTGCGATTCTAGGTGGGTTTTCCATACAAAAACTTAAAATTAAAAGTTTATTAAGCAAAAGTGCCCATTAGCAGATAATTTTTATCGGATCGTGTTCCCCGTATTTTATTCGATTTTTCCACCAATTTTCAGCCGGTTTGGAGCTTGTGACCTGACAACCTCTACATGTTAGGGTTTAGGTTCGGCTTAGGCTTAGGCTAGCTTGGCTTCGTCTCAGGCTTAGATTAGGCTTGGTTTAGGCTTCGATAACAAAAAACCCTAGAAATTTCGTTGATTTTGCGATTTTGGTGGGAAATAGGCTTGGCTTAGGCTTAGTCTGAGGCTTACATTAGGCTTGGTTTAGGCTTATTAAGATTTGGCTTAGGCTTGCTTGGCTTAGTCTCAGGCTTAGATTAGGCTTGGTTTAGGCTTCTATAACAAAAAACCCTAGAAATTGCTTTGATGTTGCAATTTTGGAGGAAAAACCTATTTTTCAAATCAAAATTTCGTGTTTAGAGTTTAGCGACACTTTGGATATTTAATTTATATTAGAAAAATGGAATCCTCGGAAAAAATTGGTTCCCCCCAGAGAATGCAAAAGAACCAAAAATCGAAGTAAGCATCTGAGAGTGGGAAGCTGCTGACAGGCGATTGCGAGGGAAGCTGAATCTGTCAGCTTGTTGTGAGAGAATAGTATTTATATTCATTTCGATTGTTTTCGTCGTGTTTTCAACCTCAATATGGACACAAATATTTATAAAATTTGTTTTTAGTACCGGTGTACCCTTCTTCTACGACGATTACGTCAACAACAAATAGGTCGTCAACACGAATCGAGCCTAGCTTAGGCTTAGAATTAATGAGGCTTAGGGTTAGGCTGAGGATTAGGCTAAAGCTTAGGCTTAGGCTTAGGCTGACCTAGGTTTAAGTTTGCAACCGATTGGCTTATGCTGTCCTTACCTCTTTAAATGGCTATCTAATGCATTACCAAGCACGAAAAAGCGGAGAATATGCCTGAATCGCGTTCAGCAAAGAGTTTTTCAAGAATTTCTATCTGAAATGAAATGTTAGCGTGCTGAAAATGGTCTCAAAAGATGCGTCAGGCAATTCTGCATCGAATGATGTATTTTGTAGTCGAGATATAACGCTATTTTTAGGCGAAAAAGCGAGAAAAGACAAATGCACTCTTGATTTCAGTGCCCTTACAAGCTTCTAGCTGTTTTGATGCTTCTGAAGTTCTTTGGCATTATCGGGGGGGATAAAATTTCTTTTCTAAGCCTCCATTTTTTCCGATAGAAATAAGGTAAAGGTTTTTAGACTGTTTTTCCCTATTTCCGTGACTGAAAACTTTCAAAATTTTTATCAACAAAACCGTAAAAATAAGGATTTAGCTGTAATGATTAAAAAATAATACTAAACACGCCTCAAAAATGCAGGAAGTACAGGGTATCCCAAAAAAATTCCCCCACCCCTAGCCGGCCGCAGACCTCGCCGATTTTTATGATTTAGGTATCTATCGAAAGTTCTCGAAGAGGCGAGTCCAGCAAGTCTCTTCGATTTTGGAAATGTCGGGATTTTTTGCTCGATTTTCGACATTTTTCATGCAAACTGGACACGCTTTTTTCGTCCAAAACGCAATTTATTCGGTTTAAGCGCCATCCTGGCCGTGTTTTCGCATACGGTTTTCAAAAAGCTGTCATTGGGCTGCCAGGAAAGGTGTAAAAATTCTTAAATTGCGCTTTTTCTAAAAAACCCTTAGGACAGAAAAATCAGAAAAGCCGCCCGTTTTGCAAAAAGATCAGTAAATACTAGGAAAATTTTTACATTTTGGGTGTCGAAAACACATGCTGGACTCGCCTTTCCGAGCACTTTCGATAGATACCTAAATCGTAAAAATCGGACCGGTCTGCGGCCGGCTAGGTGGGGGGGATTTTTTTGGGACACCCTGTATTATCGAAATGTATGAACGGCAAATAAATAAATTAAGAAAATTAAAACCAGCTAACCTCCCCCCCTACTAGTCCAGTACCAAAAGATTCTAGAAATCTTACAGGCGCAGGTGCAGACGATGGCCGAGCCGGGCAAGCCGACGATGCTCGAAGTCTTCTTAGTTGACTCCCCCTGGCCGTCTCCCAGCAAACTCGAGTAGAGGGGCATCGAGCGGCAAGACAGAGTTCGTTTGTAATTTATCTGGAAATCGATTTTTTGCGTTTTTTTCGGTCTTCTGAAACCGACCTTTGAGCATCGAAATGTTTGACTTCGTGGAGCTCGGACTTCAAGAGCTACTATGGCGTCTGGCCACTGATGACATGAATTATAAAAAGCGCCCTCAAAGCGAGCAAGCAAACTTGCTTTTTAAGCAAGTTATTAGGCCGGGCTAGGTTTTGCCGTGACTTTGGGCCAGCGAAACGTATAGCTGATGCGCTTGCGTCCCATGATAGGCTTGAACCGCTAGATTAAAGCAAAATTGAGCAGCCGGAACACCGGATAGCGATAAAAATATTGAAATAGAAACTAATTACGTTCAAATCGCTATCGTTATTGCGCCTTCTCCAAAATAACGTTGGTTCGCGCGGGGTGCTTGCAAAGTCCATTGATACCGGCAACCGTAGCATCGTGTAGCCCATTCTAAACTAAGTTTTCAACTCCTAACTACCTGAATAATCGTCCCAGCCTCCTCATATGGCGATCGGTGCCGGCTTGAACTCCTTCCGCACAGCTTTCCAGCGCCAAATTGTCGCCCTCAGAGGCATCTCTTGCTTCTTGCCATTCCCGTAGACGTTGGCATCCCTTTCCTTCAAATTTTTACCTAAAAAGTATCGGCGGAGGAGTATCACGAAAACGACTAACCGCCAAACATCCAAAAAACCGGCTTTGAAGTCAGATGCCGTCTTGCCGTCCATTTGTCCCATCCTTCCGGCCTATAAAAGAAAATATAGCGAAAGAATGGAGAAAACGAAGATGGGAAAAATCTCAAAATTATTTTAAAAAGGGCACCAAATTACGAGATAATAGTATTCCGGAAATTTGCGAGTCCGACCTGCTCCACCTTACGGCATAGTAGTGTTTCGGAATATGATGACGGTGTTTCGGAATTTTGCGAATTCGAAAACTCCGCCGATTAAGTTGAAGATTGTTTATTTAGTAAAAAACAGGTACGTTTTTTTCGTGTTTCGAGTGAATCTCGAGCGAATCTAAATTTACTTAATTCGGTCGCTTAGGCAGCCCCGCTGCGCTCATCCCTTCGTTCCGAAGCACGGGAACACGATTCGGCTCCCAGGACCGTTACTCTCAGTCCAGGTTTTAGCTTTGATCTAGCGTTTGATGCCTTTTTTCTAGAAGTGGAACGACGTCTGATACAAACAGAACACCGGAACGCGTTGGAACAAATCTCAGCACAAAAATCACGAATTTCGGATAAATTTTGGGATGCGCAGGTTTTATCAAAACTCATTGCGAAAAATCTTGTTTTTCTAGGAAAAGCTGCGCGAAAGCATGTCGTCAGGATCTCAACAAGGGATCCCAAGATCGGTCTCTGATTCTAGTAAGCTTTCCAAAGTTTTATTTGATCTTTGTCTTAGATGGTTTTGTCAAGAAGCCGTCACTCATCCAATCCTTCGAAAATCCTTTCCACACAATCGTGGTATTGGCCAATACAGATGAATTGAACGTGGGAACTGAGGTTTTTTAAAGCCAAACTTTAAAAGTCGCCTTATTTCCAGATTACCGACGAATTTGACACCCCGAGCGGCCCGTCATCGGCTCTTCAACTCGCAAAGGTTTCTTTTGCTTTTATTTTCATTTTTTAGATTGATCCTGATGGTCGAGTGGGCAAAAATGGACGTATACGAACTGGGGATATGCTTGTTGCGGTCGACGGAGATTCTGCCAATGGGGTGGGGAAAATACAGTGGAAATAAAGCTTTTCTTGTCTTCAGTTAACCCTTCTGAAAGCTAGTGCTCTTCTTTGCGAGCTTCGAACTCGCCCCGCGCCCACGTTGACGATTGATCGAACGATTGAATCGTTTCATGAGTATGTTTCGCCACTTTGCCAGTATTATAAAGAGAATTTTTAGGGCCGAAGCGAATGTGATCTCCCAAAAGAAGATGGCGCACTCTGTCCTCCAACAAGCCAATAGTCAAGCTGCCGGCTAGGCATTTACCATCACTATTGTCCGAAGTAGGCACAATACTCGTTAAAAACGTCTATTTTTAGAGCCAAACGGCTTCGGCTTCACGGTCACCGGCCGAGAAACGACACAAGGAGAGCGATTGTGTTATATTGGGAATCTGAAACCGGATGGCCCGGCTTTTGGTCAACTACGCTCTGGCGATAGGCTGATCAAGGTCTGCTCAACGATTTGCAGCTTGTATTTAACGATTTTAAGGTAAATGACGTGCCGACGGTTGAACTTCAACAAGCGGATATCGTTCGCCGATTGAAAGAAACGCCTGTTGGCGAAAGCGTCACTTTGGAAATCTCTAGAGTAAGTTCTCGCAATAAATTCAGAATTACGCTTTTTAGTTGGCAGAAACGAACGATGAAAATCAACCCCCGGCCTCGACAAGTACTGCAGCCATAGAAGTTGCTGAAAACGAAGCGGAAATCGTGGGGAAAGAAAGAAGTAGGAACATCACCAGCACGGAGATCTATTCACAAAGCCCGACTAGTCAACACTGCCAATGATATCAAGGTATAACGATAATCTTCTATTGTAATTTTGTAATCTTAGGAGTACTCGTTCGACATGCCGCCGTTGAATGATACTGGTTCTGCCAGGTTTTGGCTTTTCACTGAAAGCGCGTGTCTCGATCAAGGATGATGGGTCTCTCGGCGATTGCGGAATTTTTATCAAGGTAGTAACTTTTCCTTCCAAATTATACAATTTGTCGTTAGTAACTGGTCGGAGGAGCGGCGTGGAAAGATGGCGGGGCAGCACAGCACAGAGAAGGTACGTTTTTTTGTTAACATTCAGGCCGGATGGGACGAACGACGCGTGCGACGCAAGCGAATCTGCGGCCGTCAAATGCTGCCCTTCGCAGGTACTTATTTTGTTTCTGCGACTATGCCACTTTCAAAACTTGCAAATTCCCGGTTTCCAGGCCTGGCAAGACATTTCGTATCCAAATTTGAAAATTAATCGAAAAATTTGCATCCGCGCGATATATTTGGCCTGATTTCTGCCTTTTTTATATTTGGCGATGTCGAAAAGTTTGCTCGTGAGCGAATTTTGGTTCTTTAGACGCAAAAATGCACCAAATTAGGTTTTTGTATATTCTTTTTGACTAAAAAAGGAGTAGGTGCTGTAATTTTTAATGCCTTGCTTTTGTTTCCTGTGTTTATGGTTTAGCCTGGAAATAAACTTTGTTTTAGATGCCTTCGCAGCGCCACGAGGAGGACGACGGAAAAGAAAAAATTAAAGCTTAAAATACTTTTTTAATGTGTGATTAACTGATAAAAGATTATTCATGTACGCTTTTCGGATTTTATTACGGGTTTTAAGCCCATTGTATCTGTAACTGATTCTGGTGATCGAGTGGATTTAATTGAATTTTAGTTCGACTCAACGACAAGATAATGCCCGGCCAGCCGCTCAAGCCAATGTTGACGGGAGCCCTTGTGCGTTTATTCGGTTCTTTTACTTTACAACTTTTGATTAAATAATGTAAAAAAATATCGATTTTTCGACGCAAAAACGGCGTTTCAACCATTTTTGTGTTTTCAAACTAGGTAGCCCTTTTGAAATAAAGCTAAGTTTTATAAAAATACAATTGAAATGATTGCTCCTGCGTTATTGGGCCTAGCTGGACTTGTAATATGAAAAATTCGGTAAAAATTGACCAATTTTCCAGCTCAAGAAACCGAAGGCCCGGACGGCGGAGGAGCTTTTAGGCTCTCCGATTCTGATGGCGAACGAGGACATGGCCAAGGTACTGATCTTGATTCTTTTTGTAACCCTAGCCTTTTATGACTAGCTCAGCATAAATATTCTCTACATTAGGTTGACATTCTTTGACTTATTTTATGGTCCGGGTTCGATCCCACTCGCAACCAACTTTTTGCTTTTTGATAAAATTCTAGAAAGGGCGCATTAGAAGTCGCTGATTGGTTTTATTCTAGGTTGCTAAGCGTCTGGCCCTGAATTTGACGCCCCTTTTCGAGTCATGGCTTGAACTGAATTTTTTTATAAAATCTTGTGAAGGGGTTGTTAGCTTTTGCTTAACCATTATGCCACATTTTCAGGATGAGAAGATGACCGTCGAGTGCAACGACCTGCAGGCCCAGAAGGAGCAAGACAAGTTTACCGGCAAATTCAGCGATTTCGAGAAGGTAAATTTATTATTAATCAGTTTTATAAAATCGTGTGAATGGTGCAGTATTATTAGCTGTTGCTTAACTATTAAGCCCCATTTTCAGGTGGATGAGAAGTTCACCGGCGACAACGAGACCCACGTGGAAGAGAAGCCGCACAACCTGAAGAAGCTCGGCGAGGACAACAATTCGGTAAATTTATTATTGATCAACTCCTAAATAATGGTTCCTCTTAGCATTTCGGGTTATTTGATTTTGACCGGTTTTCTGACATTTTTGGGCAAAAACTCAGAAATTTTTGAGAATTTTCGTAACTAAAAAGTTGTTTGTATCAACGTTTTCATGTGTTTTACAGCCCAATTTTCCGAAGACGTTCTCCCACCTCGACTTTACTCCTTCGAACCGGGGTGAGGCCCAGAAGAAGAAGGTAAATCTTTGTCGCCTTGTTAACTCTTTGGCCTCTATGGCTAGTTGGGGGCATTTAAAGACAGTCGCGGTGGCAATCTTTTTCTATACCAAATTTTCAGCTGCTCCTCGACATCTCCCTCTCGCCGATTGTTGGTAACGCGAAGATGAGCCAAGCCGACGAACAGCATCCCAGCCAAGTAAATATTTTATGCCTTGATAACTCTTTGCCCTGCTAGCTAAATTCGGGTTCAACTTTTTGCTGTTGGCATATGGTAAATGGGGAGGTAGAATACGTGGGTAATTGGCGGTACACATATCATAACGGGGGGGGGCATTGAAAGTTTCCTAATAATTAAAATAGTTTTAAATATGGCTGTCGGGCTGTAAAAACTCTCTTATTATATTGTTCGTCGATCGATTGGGCTTTTCAAAATATCGCAAATTCTACCCGGCCCCCGCGTTTATGTATTTTTTTGTTGTTGGTAAAGAGCTGATGGTAGGCGGGTTGCTTGGCGGATGCATGAGCTAGGAAATGTCTTTTTTTCAGGCTCAAGCCGTCGACTTGCTCGAGGATTTGCCGGACCGGGTTACGTCGATCGAGGTGCGGTATTTTTTCGCGTTGTTTTTGGTTCTAGACTTCCGATTTAACTTGGCATTTTCAGCTGAACCGCTCGATGTCCGAGGCGGACTTCGTCGACTGGATCGACAATGACGACTCGTAAAAAAGGACAGAAATACATTTACATTGAGCATGTCAGGAGTACCCGTTTTTTTTGTTTGTATCTAGACCTTTTCTGCCAAAATTCCGCTTTTTTCACGTCGGTCATTCATATGCGGGGGTTTTTATTATGTAATGTTTAGATAAATCATTGTTGGCATTTGTGGCTCGGAATTTGAAGCTTTCGCGTCAGCGACCATCGTATCGATCGATCGACTGGTTTTTAGACCAATTCTGGCCGATTGCTGCTACTTAGGATAGCTGATTGGTTTTGTTCGAGTTTTTGAGCGTATGGCAGGAATTCAAATGGCAAAAATGGCTGTGTCATTGGAATTGTTCTGTTTTCGTTACAGCCAATTTTCGACCGGGCCCCCTTGGATTGCTGCAGGGGTTTTTGAGGGGGAATGAGTAGACGAGAGAGAGAGAGAGAGAGAGAGAGAGAGAGAGAGAGGCTTTACCATATTATAAAGTGAATTTTTAGGGCCGAAGCGAAGGTCGTCTCCCAAAAGAAGACCCCCGGCCTCGAAAGGCACTGCAGCGATAGAAGTTGCTGAAAAAGAAGCGGAAATCGTGGAAAAGAAAGAAGAAGGAACACCACCAGCACGGAGATCTATTCACAAAGCCCGACTAGTCAACACTTCCAATGATATCAAGGTATAACAATAACCTTCTATTGTAATTTTGTAATCTTAGGAGTACTGGTTCGACATTCCGCCGTTGAATGATTGGCCATACGCGACAAGTCATGTTCGGTAAGGAGTTTTCTATAGTATTCTATTGCTGTTTATCTCTTTAGATTGAGAGTTTTGCGACAAACTGTCGTCCTCTCATCAGGTGTCTCTTCTGATGGCTCGACTCACGTGACGCGATTCTCCCCAATTCCCATCGGCGGATTCTCCACCCCTCAAAGCGGCTGCTCCTGAATTGACAATGTATAGAAACTATTCCAATAAACAAAATTGTGTTTAGCATCGCGAAAAAGATGTGAGCACATCAACACGGCGCAGTGAGGTCGAAGAAGATCTGCAGCCTGATGCTGGGGCGTTTGATAGAGAGGCTCCTGGGCGGAAGGTAAAGATCAGACTCGAAAACTCATGCTCAAAATCGTTTAGTCGATGAGCGAGAAGAGAGGAATGGGCGCTACGATTGATCCCATCACTTCTACGACTTATCAGAAGATCAAGCATCAACGGCAAACTAGTGGTGAGTTGAAACAGTCTTTTTAATGTTAAAACTCACTTCTGGGTCTACGTTTGCGCCTGGGATGGCTATTTTTAGCTATTAGCAAATTTGGGACTGTTCGCACGGTAGTATTTGCTAAGTAACTTCCTGAAAGAATAAGCATCAAGTTGAACGAGGCATTAATATAACGAAATTAGCCATATAAAGTATTAGAACGTATTTTCTGCGTAAAACTAGTAGCATAGGTTCCATAAACTTGATGTTATATGCTTTTACCACAAACCCAGCGAATTGTACAACCTTTGCTAACTTCTCTATTTTCCTGTTTTAGCCCCAACATCTTCGGCTTCTCGTTCGTTCCGTCAGAATCGATCAGCATCGACGACAGCAGCCGCAAAAGCCCGTTCCGTATCTGTACATCCAAGACCGACAACATCCACTGATGGCGAAAGATCAGACACGAAACCTCCTAGAGACCCGGCTATTGATTACCTTGATGTTGGCCCTGGTGCGCTTTTTACTTCATTTTCGGATTTTTTCTCTTGGTTTGATGCTTATTACAAAGAATTGGATCAAATAAACCGCAAAATATCAATATTTAGGTGCGACAAGAAAAGTGTTGACGCGAATCTGGCCACATCTCAAATGCGTCCCGATGACCCACAAGCCCCACAAATGCTGCCCACCTCGTTGTCTACCGGCTTCAAGAACCCTTCCTTCAAACATGCAGTCGCTGGAGAAATTGGACCCTCGCAAGGCCTATCTCCCGTCATTGCTCAACGATTCGGAGCAGCTCGCATATCGGATAAACAGCAGAGAAGGAAAAGCATCGGCAGGTATGTAGAATCATTTCTATATAAATCTAATATTTCCCTGTGTTAGTACGATGAAAAGCTGGCTGCGGATCGGGGCTCGATCGCGGGAACGCCTGAAAAGGAACCTGCGCACCCTCACTTCTTGGCTCAACCAGGACAGGACTACGAAAATGTACTCACAAGCACTCCGCTGAATCGACGAGATTTCCGCCGGGATCAAGTACAATCGCAATACGATCCTGTATTTGCTGAGGTAAAATGCTGAGCGATTCCTTGTTTGCTTGTAACTACTAATTTGGTTGAGGTGACGGTTGTGACGATTCTCAGTTTTATAATATTTTGTGATAACACTCAGTTGCCTCATTTTACTAATTTCTGATGTCTGTAGTGCTCGACTAATAATTTGCAGCCCCAAACAATAACCTCTCCGACGAAGTCTGGCTTCAAAGTGGCCAACTCGACGTTCTATATGCATGCTAGGTATCGGAAGGCTTGGAAATCGGATTGAATTCTTCCCCGCCCGATCTTCCCCCACTTTTTGCATGTTGTGCATGTTCGGCTTGCTTTTTTCTAACCTTTTTTTGGATTTAAAAACGAGCAAGAACGTTTATATTTTGTGTTTTTAGAGATTCGACCACCGACAAAGACCGGGCCCCAGCTACCCCGAGCAAATTGCCGACAGCTATGAGCAACACCGCTGGCGCCCATATCTCTCTCAGGTAACGACTAAATTTCATTTATTTGGTTTATCAAAATAAGTAGAATCATGTGTTCGACACAAAATAGATTAAAATTTCCCTATAATATGTTGTAATTTTCAGGACTATGGCGCCACCTCCCCCACCACACAACAAAGGAATCGCTGGAGTCGCGTCCTGGACACCGCCAAAGGAAACTACGCCAAACGCCCATCCCCACCACCTTATTACGCAGTTTCCAGGTATCAAAAAGTATCGATATTTTTGATTTCCTTCTTTTCCTACCAGGGAGACGACCGGGGGGAATTTTTCATGCGCATAACACGCCGCACAACTGCCCCCGATGGGATCAGAAGCACCATCAAGACGCGGCGAACGACAACCAGCATCAACAACGAGCAATCGACCGCCGGCACCCACCTACTATGATGCATTCAACGCATGGTTCGCGTACTCGGGCGGATGAGCGTTTGGGGGCACGACCAAGTGTCCAGGTGAGCAAAAATTTGACCTTTGGTTGAAAAAAATTTGATTTGATCGTCGCTCTGCTCAACGCGCCTGACGTGGTTGCGTTCGGGTACGCGCAGGAAATCCGGGCGTTTGCGTTGCGTGTCGCGTATGCGTAAAAACTCCTAGACAAGACTTGTCCGCCCGTTTAAAATTATTACCTAGTGTCGCTTTTTGTTACATGCATGAGTATGGATTTTGTCGAACGTCGCGATCCACAACGCATTCGTCCGTCTGTTCCACTATGCATAAGAAAAACCGAGGCTGTGCGTTGCGTACCGCGGATGCGTCAAAATCCGAGCCACTTCTTGCCGGGCCCTTTAATCCGATTAGGAAGCGTCAGATTTTCCCAACTTCAAAAATCGCAAAACATATCTTTCTATGCCAACCTCCGTTTTTTCAGGCCGCTTTCGTTGGAGGGTTGCCCCACCCGCTTCTCCTAAACCCAACGCCCGAACGCGTGCTCCGCTCAATCAACCGCCAGCCGTCCGCGCCGCAAATCACGACTTCCAACGTCATTCTGCATTCCCCAACCAGGTATTTTCACGCTTTATTTTTAATATAATAATTCTATTTGTTTTTCTAGGCATCTTGGTCCCGCGCATCCCCCTATGCCACGACCGATTTCGCAGCACCAATCGACGCCGCCACAGCACAACATCATCAACAACAACCCCACGTCTTCCCCCTCCCGCCGCCTCCAGGACAGCCAATTTATTCAGGTATGAATTTGGTTTACAAAAAATCTATTTTTCTGTTTATTTTCAGACGCCCCGTATTTCGCTGGACAGTTTCGTCCGTCTCAGGCACAGCCAGCAAGAGCCCCGGACAGCTGGTTCTCCCATTTCTAACAACCCCCCAGCAACGCCTCTCGCTGCGCGCCAAGAAGCGCCAGCAACGCCGAGCCGTTCAGTCGGAATACGTGGATGCTCCGTTAAATGGTAACTTACTTTTATTATCTATCTCTAAGACATGAAAATAGGCGTTTTCTGCCTAAAACGGTAGTTTTTGAGCAAAGTCTTTCATTTTTGTAAATTTTTTTACGGTTTTTGGATAAACTTGGCTTGGTATGTAGCTAAAATTGAACTATTACTCAAAAACAAACAGCCCTGCGTTTTTATTAAGAATTTCTGGATCTGACCAAGAAGAAAAACACGATTTATAATATTACCGATTTTTATTCCAGCTTTCCCTCCAACATGGCGTTCAATTGCTCAACGAAACCCCTCCTACCTCTCGGCGACACTTTTACATAAAGACACGCTGGTAAGTTTTTTCCCCCGTTTTTAAAGCAATTTTTTATTTTTTAGCGAACAAGCCCGCGGGTATCGTCTCGGCTCTAGCCCGCCCTTCCTCAATTCAAAACTACTGTTCAATGCATCGATTATCTACGACTACGAAATATCACAACCAAACAAAGTGCCCTTGTCTTTCTCGCTTTTAAATATATCTATATCTATTTATTGCTTGGGCATGACAACTGCTTGTGATCCTCGTCTTTTCTCACTTTTCCATGCACTCCGCTGTATCTGCTATTTTTACCTTTTCGATTTCTGATCTTGCGAACAAACTTGCGTTTCCTCATTTGCTGACCATACTAGTATACTGGTCCACCTTTTCGCAAAAAGCATTTTCTTTTTAAAAACTAACTATATGAAATTCTCGTTCTCTTCTGCTGGCGCCTCTACTTGGATTGCGTCTTCCCATCGCTTGTGATTTTTATCCAAAAAAAAATGGAAGTTTTGAGGGAATAAAATATTCGTTTTTAAGAGGCAGAGCGGGCGTTTCCAGAGTTCTTGCGATGCGGAAGCGATGTGGTTATTCCATGAGCCGGGCCGACACCATCCAGACAACGACTGTAGGGCCAGTTAGCAGCGTTGATCCACTGCCCCAATGGGTTTTAGGCCGAATATTCCATGCACAGTCCGTAGTCTTTCTTTATAGTTTCTCGTTTTATAAAATTATGTTTTTAAACGGTTTTTACTTGTTCTAGTCCCCAAAAACTGAAGATTTTGACTAAAAAATAACGTAAAAAATACAGAATTTTGGTCGAAATCTTCACTTTACATGATTTGCTCTGTTCAATGGGCTCTCAACTTCACGATATAAGGAATTTACCTCCAAAAACATTGAACAATTGTCTGCACATCCGCGAATTTTGCGGCGGCGATCACCATATCCTATAGCCAAAGTAGCTGTGTCCTCTGTAATGCCGATTTCTCGGCCGTCAGGCCGAATTTTGCGCTGATTATTTCGACTCAATTTTTCAAGAGCTTTCGAATGGTGTAAAACCCATTACAATCCGATGCTTCTAGGGAAAGATATAGGGTTTTTCTTGATTCAACTCGGACTGGATTTTTCAAAGAAATAGCGCCATCTTAGCAACGAAGACCCTACAGCGAAAACCGATTGCAGATTCGGAATCAGCGCAAAAAATTACATATATAAAACGAAATTCTGATCGATGCTCTACGCTTGCGGAAAGATAAAGGGCTTTTTCTGTGAAAATTTATTCTTTACTTTTCCTAAAATACGTCATATCTCGGAAACGATAGGTTTGAGAGGAAAACGAGTTTCAGATTCGGATTCAGCGTAAAAACTGATCCTAAACAGTGGAGAATTGAGATAGTATTGTGATGTTTTAGTCTAGAATAATAGATTGCAAAAGGTATTAAGGGTAGATGCGGGGGCTTGTTGGGAAAGACCCCCTGTGAGCGTTCTCCGCCTGCTCTCTGCCCAATTGCGACTAGCCCCCCGTCTGGACCACCCCGACAATGTATCCGCGCCTCGTCGGGTTGGTCAGCAATCGGCCTTCGGTCCATCTTTTTTTTTAAGAAGACCGGGCCGCGGGATATAAGGGTCGCGCGAGCGGCCCTTATAACAAATTTTGGGTGCAGGCCGAATGCCATGGACGGGCGACCGTCTTTGGCGTTCGCGCCTCGCGCGTTGGCGAAGCCATCGCCAATTTTTTTGCTAAAATATAAAAATGTCGAGTAAATTAATATCGTAGTTTCCTAAGGCTAGGTTGATTGGAACAATTCGCGTAGCGTTGATCATCCGCCTATTACAGTTTTAAAAGTTTCGAAATTCATATAGCCTTCCACTCAGCCCTCGCCAATTTATTTTCTAAGTGTTTATAAAAACTACGATTTTCCCAAAATAAAAATTTTTCGTTTTTATTTAATTTTATTTCTAAATAGAAACCCTACCAACAAGGCGATTCATGGTTGTGTTGACCTTGGTGCTGTTTGGGGGTTGATTCTTGGAGTGTACTTGTAGTCCTGGCAGGCTGCCAAATACCAGGCCGGAAGCTGAGATCAGCACGAAGAGCACCGAGATCGAGTTTGGGCAGCGAGAGCTAAAAATGAATGAAACTCGGGAGTATTTCCGATTTTTCTGAGTTACTGTAAGAATTATATAAATTTTTTAATAAGTGTATCCTGTGCAGAGTTTAATGCACTATTAAATGAAGTTGATTGGTATTATTACTGAAAATAACTTTAAAAGAAAATAGAGGGTTACAACTTCCAGCAAACCGCTCATTTGAATAGCTCGATTTCCGGAGTTTCCAGGTGAAAAATAGACGCCTAAGGTTTGCTCGTCATTTCTCAAGTGGAGAGTTTGAGAATTCCGGCCGTCCCTTCCGTATCTGCTCCCTGCGTCCTCAAGCCGCCCTCCATCCTCAATTTTGACCGCTGGTGGGCCGGTCTGGTAAGTGAACCCCGTTTAGCCGTATTTCACGTAATTGAGGAGTATCATCCCGGAATTTTTCCAAATTATAATATAAACGACTTAAATAAAAGTTTATTAGTAGTAGGTTTAGAAATTTTCTTGTTTAAGAAGCACCCGGCCATGCCGCGCCCCTCTCCGTCTAGCTCGATGGAGGTACTCGTCGGCGCCGTGCAGGTTGGTACTATTTTGACCTTTTTGCGATTAATAAATGGATATAAATATCTCTGCATTTTATACAAAAGATTTTTCAGGCCCCGCCCGTCATCAAGGAGGCCGCCGCCGCCAGCGCCACATCTTCTGGCGACTCTCTGGTGGTCCACCTCGGCCTGGGCTTCAACATGTAGAATGTCGAGCATAGAAAGGATATTTTTAATTTTTGCTAGTCTTTTTTACGATCATTCTTAATAAACGGTGCTTTCTTGATTGATTTTTAACGGCTCTGGTGCGTTAGCGGGGGGGGTTGAATCCATATATAAGCCTTGGGCATCCCTTTAGGTGCGTTCAAAAACAGCTGGATCTCACAGCTTTTTTAAAGAAACCTTGAAAATCGTAGAAACGTACCTTACCAGTGCCTTTAAAATAAAACTGGAAGAAAAGCATAAAAAATACAATACTATAAAATAATTTGTAATTAAATTTGATCTAAATTCTAAAGCGACACCAAGAATTGGTCTCTTTTTTGATGAGAGTACCTTAAATCTCAATATTTGCATATGAGGCGCCGGTAAGACCATAGTTTACCCCCCCCCCCAGACGCCCCTTTTCTCTGCGCCCTCTCCCCCAGGCCTACTATCTCTTCACCTGCGCCCTCTCCCCCAGGCCTACTATCTCGCCTGGGGGTAAACTAGAGTTTAGCCGAGGCGCCAAAACTTGTTAAACCACTTTGAAACATCTTTGCGGAAACCTGCTCGAAAATTTGAGTCCCAAATGAAATTTGCGTACTACTTTGCATGAACGCACTTAACGTTCCCGGGCTAAAGGGGGGATGCAGGAAAAGTTGGCTCTCATTTTTCCTCGCTCCTCCTCTGCGATGGCTACCCGATCCTTGTCGGCCCCCAACATCACTTCCCCCGACGAGAAGCAGTACTTCATCGGCAAGTACCAGGTAAGCATGAACTTTTCTTAGCTTAGAAACTTCGTCTGATAGTGTACAAATTCACATTAAAACAGTTTTACATTTTTTATTACAGGACTCCCACCCGCCCAGCTTCCACGGCACACCCACGCGCTCGGTACAGGACGGCTCGAACGACTTCATGATCGAGAAGTGCATGGTGTCTAAGTTTTCCCTAGTGTTTTGGCTAAATAAATGGTCAGTAAAGCATTAAATTGGAGTTTCTAACGTCATAATTGAGTTATTATTATTTTTGAATTTTAAAGCTGCAGAAACTAAGTAAGTTGACAAAAAATTCCAAATTTTCTATATCGGCTCTGCAACGACCTAAAGAACTGTAAAAAGCATGTAGATGTAAGTACCCATTTTTGACCAAAATGTCGACTTTTTAAACATTTTTCCAAATTTTATATAATTTTCGTGGTTAAAGTATAGGCTTATTTTACTAAAAACATTATGAAAATAATTTCTAGGAAGTTATGAGACATCTCTAAATCTATACAAAAAAATCCGGTTCTGGACTGTAAGTGGGGGGGAGGATTTCTAGCAGGGGGAACCACTTTCTGTTTTTTACTTTTTTGATGTTAGACTATGTGATTTTATAGTATTTTTGGTAGTTTTTTATTGCTATAAAGTTGCTAGCCTAATTACTAGTTTTTGATTAGACAAATTTGAGCTTTTTGGCAATTTTTGATACATTTTTGGAAAAGGTTAGATATTTTTTGTATTGTTTTCATATCTAAAAATTATGTAAAATGCTATAAAAATAGTTTGTATTTTGTCATATGGCCGTAGGGAATCGCAGGGAAAATTTGGTTCCCCGCCAGACCCCCCGCTAACAGTCCAGAACCAACCCCCCGATAATGCAAAAAAAACCAAAATCAATTTTGTAAAAAACTCGGATATTCCTAGGTGCTAGAAAGCCTGTAGAATACACCGAAAGCGGTAGATCAGAATTTTGCAGTCGATCGGCCACGCCACCCCTCGCCGCAACACGAACGCGACCGTTGACAGTGCTCCGTGGCCCGACACCCCGAGGCCGGTCAAGAAGTTCGAGGATACCGAGGACAACGTCAAGAAGTAAATCTAATAATTTTTCGTTCCGATTATTTTTGTATACTATCGAACTTTTACCCCGTGAATAAAGGTTTTGTCCGTGTAAATGACATTTTTATGCATGAATTTTTTTATTAATTTATTAATGCTTCGCGGACTAACTCCGATGGCCCTTCATGCTCATGCTCATTCATTGAGCATCAGTCGCAAATCTGCTAGAATACAAGGACGATCGAGCGCCGGGGTACTGTAATTAGATTGTTGAAAGAGTGTGATTGTTGACAAGAAATTCTCCTCCAAACCTTGCCAGCCCCTTTAAAGCACAAGTTTCCGGCTCCGTAAATAGGTGTATTCGTAGCGGTGCCTGCACGTGCGCTTTGAAAAATGATGAAGCGCTTCTACATATGGAAAACAGCCAATAAAACAGGCTGCAACCCCGTAAGAAACCCGATGTGAATAATCTTGCTGAAAAAATAAAATATCAAAAAACTTGCTCAACTTTAAAGCCGAATTTCCTTGTAATTTCGTCCGGCTGCAAGCTTGGCGTCAACTGGTGAATCATTTTGCGCCGTTTTTATTTGCGAGTCTTTGCCAGGCGTCCCAATTTGAAGCCAAAAATCGTTCCAGTGCGTTTTTGGCATTATTTATTTTTTTAATTTAATTCGTCTAGCGCGTTTTAAGAGGTGTTTGCGCTCGAAAAGTCTTTGCAAATGCAGATTATTGATGAAAACAACCAATTTTTCTTGCTTAATTTTCGTATGAAAAGGGAAAATTGACCTCTACCAGGTAACGTTGTAAGAATAATCGAATTTTATTTAGCTAACGTAATATTTGCGGTAGAGCCGTCCTGAATTTTCTTTTGCAAATTTAACACAAAATAAATATGTTTTTTTTTTGATTAAAAGAACATTTTCTTTTCCCAATTTCATAAATAAATAATAGCACTAGGATGTCCACTCTTTTCGTCATTTCGGCATTAAACAGCGGGTTACTAAGATACACAATGCTACGGGAAGCACACAATATTGTTAAATCAAAGCTTTATACATAGCAGCTGCTTTTTTGAGGGGTTTTCGGCCTCTCCGAATCTTTAGAAAATTCAGACTATACGATAAAGAATTTTCTTGTTATTTCTCTGGTTCCGTTTCCTTTCTAAAAATCGGACCAGCTGTAAAATTAAGCTCGAAAATTGTCAATTGCTAGAAAATCGCTTTAAAAGAAGCTTTTCCCACCCGCCCCGCCAGCCACATCTTTATTCATCGGCAAACAGGGCTGCGAAGAATCGATCAGCCGATACCAACGGTTATCGCTGATTCACGCGGGCCAACTCGAGCGCTATTGGCCAATATTCTGCAACGGGACGACCATTTATCGATATTTAGCGTATATAATTCAGGTTTATAACCTTTAATAATGACTTAGCATGCTTAGGCTTAGGCTTCGGTTTAGGCTTAGGCTTGGATTAGGCTTGGCTTAAGCTTGGGCTTAGACTTAAGCTTAGGCCTAGGTTTGGGCTTAGGCTTAGCCTAGGCTTAGGCGTAGGCTAAGGCTCAGTCTTAGGTTGGGCTTGGACTTAGGCTTAGGGTTGGACGTGGGCTTGGGCTTAGGCTTAGGTTTACGCTGAGACTTAGGCCTAGGCTTAGGTTTAGGCTTCAGGGCCGTAACAAACCCAAATTTCGGGGGGGGGGGGGCGACCCCAAAAATTTTTCACTAATATGACTAAAACTACAGCGCCGCAGGCAAAATTTTTGAAAACAAAGGGTTTATAACACTAAAACTAGTGTTAAAAATAGACAAAAACAGCGCCGCAGGCAAAAAATTTTTTGGAAAAATTAAATCATAAGGGTTCCCCCTTATGAACTTTTCGGCCTTCGGCCGATTTCGGGAGGGGGGGGGCGGCTCGCCCCCCTCGCCCCCCCCCCCCCCCCCTCTTACGGGCCTGTTAGGCTTAAGCTTCATAGGATAGGCTAGATTAGGCTTAGGTTCAAGCTTAGGCTTAAGCTTCGGCTCAGGTTTAGACTTAGGCCTAGCTTAAGCTTCGGATTAGGCTCAGGCTTAGGGGCTTAGGGGATTTTCAAGGTTTAAAAAAGTTACTAACTATTTAATTTTGTCAACCAGAATAATCCAAGTCAGAAAAATTACTTTAATTCAGGATGCGCGAATGAAAAAGCAATTTCTACTGATATTCCTGTTACTCTCCAGCTCAATACTAACATTTCTGGTATGGCCAAGTCTCGACGGACAGGTGGAAATTACTGGCGCTAAATATGAGAAAAGAGGGTAATTTATATCTTCAAAAACCCCAAATAAAAACGATTTTTAGGAATAGAACGATCATCTTGGCTTGGAACAAATTTTTTGACACTGACCCATTTCTAGGGGCAAAGGCGAACTGTCGGAGGGTAGGTTACATCGCGAGTACATATTAATTAATTTTCAATAAAATTTACCACGTCCGCGGCACGCAACGCGAGCGCTCGATTTTACATCTTTACGTAATCAATTGTCCTTTCAAGGCAGCCGCGAAGCGTGTGCGTTGCGCATCGCAGCGAAATTCTCTTGATAGCGGGTCCATAGCGCCCTGCCAATGCCTTTAAATCGGAGTTTCAAATATTCTACAGTAATTAAGACATGTATTATTTCAGGATAACTGTATTTTCACGGAAGATCGTAGCCAAGTCGTTATAGCCGATGTAGTGGCCTTCCATTCGAGGGATACGGTGGATCTCCCAAACCAAAAATACCGTAGTCCGGTAGGAAATAGCTTACGCTATATAAATTAGAGTTCCAGAACCAAATCTACCTCTTCTGGACGATGGAGGCAACGAAAAATGCGGGGAATTTTGGGTTTCCAAGTAATCTTCAAATTTCAGGGCTTTAAAAATTTATTTAGAAAACTATTTCAATCGCACAATGTCTACCTCACCAAGTGCTGATATCCCATTAACTTATTCAAGAAATAAATTTATTAAAAAGTAAGCTCATTCTCAAAACTTTCAGTTAAAAATTTTTCAGGTTAAATTCTTCAAATCCTTCTGCATATCCAAGTTTTCCTGATGCTATTATCTCCAATAAATCATCAGGCATTTTCGCGCTGATCTCAAACTGTGACTACGTGACAAACCACCGAACGGATGTGTTGGATGAGATTAGTCGGTAAGAAAAGTAGTGAAAATTTGTATGTTTTTCATTTATACCTTATTTTTACTACGAGTATTTTTAAATTATACTATTTTGTAAAAATACCTCTTTCAGTTTCTACCCCGTTGATCTCAAAGGCGCCTGCGCGCCCGATCTCAAATCCCGGCAATTTTGTCCGAAGCACACCGATTGTACGGATAGAATAAAAAGCGGTATTGAAGGTAAAAATCCACCCTATTACCGAAATTTTCTTAATTTTTTTTTAAGCTAAATATTTCCATTTTGTGATGGAAAACAGCGATTGTGATGGGTATATCACGGAAAAGACGTACAGTCGGCTGGGTTATAACTCAATTCCGATCGCAGCAATGCGGCAGATTTATGAAAAATCGTAGGAAATTCACATTTTTCAAGATGTAGAAAAATTCAGCTCACTTCCAAATTCTGCATTTATATTTTTGGATGATTTTGGGTCGGCTGAAGAGGTTGCGAGACATTTAAGGTATAGAAATTGGTTTTTAAAGGGACGGGAAAGCGAGGGCTATGGATTCCGCCGCGACGCAACACGCAACGCGCGCGTCGCTGGTGTGTCGCTACGCAACGCACGGACCAGCCCTACATTGCGTAGCGGATACCGCACATTCCGAGCGGTTATGCGATTTTCGCGTTGCGTGTCGCGTCGCACCTAAATCCATAGGAAATTTGAGTCTTCTTGGCCCCTTAAAACGACTATAACCTTAATTTAGATACCTCGAAAACAACTCAACAGCCTATAAACAATATTTCAAATGGCGAGAAGAATATCAGCAAGTACCATATGAGCAGGACTGGTGTGCGTTGTGTGCTTCTCTAGTTCGGCCGTCCTCTCCTCTTCTAGAAGAGAAGGTATCTCTTACGCTTTTGTAGTCTGTACTCTTCGTTTTTACAGATAATCCACGACGTTTACTCCGAATACATGACATGCCGCTACGATTCTGCGATTCCACTGCCCGGTCTCTACTTTCCGTGGCCAATCGATTTTCGTAGACATGGTTTCAAGATTTGGCTCCTTGGATTGCTAGCTATTGTTTTGTTGATGTTGGGATTTTACTACAAAAATTTGCTAAAACGGGGCATTGAATTTTGGGCGAGATCATTCAGAAATCGTCGTGAAGATATCGGGTTGCTATGATTGAAATTTTTGGGTTTTCTAATAAATCTATCAACTTCTGCCTTGAAAATACCTTTAAAACACAAAAAAGAGTTAAAGCAATGCAAAACTGTCTAAAGGAAGCGGCAAGGCTTGGTTAGAGATTTCCCGTAAATTCTGCCGCACCGCGACACGCAACGCGCGCGCCAGCCGGCCGCTACGAACGGTGCGTATTCGATTACGCAATAGAAAGACGATGCGTCGGTTCGGCGTCGCAGGCGCGGCAAAATCTATCTAAAAAAATAGATACAAAAATACCTTGACGGGCCCTTTAAACTGAAAAACCGGTAAAGCTCGAGAATACTGAGGTAACGGTTATGGGAAATAAATAACACGAATTCCGACCCACTAACAAAAGTCTCCCACTAATCTAAAATAATATTCTAATAATCTTACAACCCAGGAAGTTTCTTTGTTCCTCCTCCCCACCCCTCGTCCTCCCCAACAGCTTGAAATAGTGTCAAGAAGCGCAAGATGGGAGGGATGGAGGCGGTGCTTGTCAGAAATCCGATAGAAGTCTCTTCCGCCCAACCCTTCCCCCCTTCTAAGGCCCATTTCAAGATGGACCACACCCTCACTACACGCAGCCACTCAGCCTCAATTATTCTACACACACGACGAAATTGGCAATCTTTAGATTACTCCAATTTTTGCACACAAGCTTTATTTTTCTGACAATTCACCTGAAAACTGCTCCATTTTTGATCCGGTTTCAATCCGGTTCTTCCGCTTTTCCGTTCCACACCCTAATTCCGCTCCCTAGGAACTGAGAACGATAGCGTACACGGACTCTTCACAGCTTCTAGGCCATGTAGGCCAGGAGAAGCCACAGTCCCTGCTCTCGAGGATGGGCAGTCGACGACATCGCCGCTCAAAGGTAGGCGCTTGACCTTGGTTCTCAAAATCTAAACTCCTTCTCACCAATTCAACTGGCATTTTAAAACCAATTCATCAAATTTGAAAAATTCTACAGACTTTACAAGCTTTACTGACCTCCTAGAGTTAAAAAACGTAAAAAAACAAAACCTAATTAACTTCTAGAAACTGCAAAAATTACAAAAAAAGTAGCTATAGAACCCAAAAAAAGCAAAATTTCATTACAATACTAATTCCAATCGATTATCCACTTTCTATCGACTAGAAAACGTTTAGGTAATCCGCGTGGTCAATCTCGTAAAGCGGATCATCGCCTTCTTCTTTTCTCACGTGGGACTGTGTGCCTTGGTGAGTATCTCTCTCGACATGCCTAAAAATAAAAACCAACAGCAGTTCCGCTGGAATGAGTTGAGAGGGGGGATAAAGCTGGGGGGGAGAGCGGGTAGCTGCCATGCAAGCTGGCCCTCCACCAACGCCCGGAAATGCCCCCCGGGAATTCAGGGGGGAGACTCCGGGGGGATGCTTCACTCGCCCCTTGCTGTCTCTTGCCTTCTTTTATCCCAAAGCACAACCACTGAAAAGATACATGGCTTGGCCCCAACAAAAATCTTCCCTTCCCAGTCTCATCGATCCTTCTAGGGAAATGGGGGACGGGACGTGGTGGTGAGCTTTGGTTTTTAGGCAAAATCGGATCGAAAATTATGAAAACATTCCTGAGAAAGAAGGGAATAGACTGTAGAAGCTGAAAGTAAGGCCAACAGTATCAAAGCACCTAAATAGGGCCGTATCAAACCCGAAAAAACAAGGGAAAAACGGTACATCCCGAAACTATAGCCGACCACCCTTCAAAACCTAAATTCAAGTTTTGGGCGGCGGCGGCAGCAAAGGCCTAGAAAAAGGCGGCAAAGAAAAATTATAGATCCCGAAACTAAAGCCAACCGTACGCAAAAACCCAGATGAACGTTGCAAGCTAAAAAAACCAACAAGTGACACTTTTCTTCTAGGCTCTCGCTTACTCTAGCCTTGGACTCATCTTCAGAACTTTTAGTGCAACCTAAAACTGTTAAAAATTCCGAGAAAAAGAAAGTAATAAATTGTAGAGCTTCAAACGAAACCCACGCTAGTAGAAATCCTAGATAGACAGCAAAAACTAAAAAGAAAAAAAATACAATTAAAAGCTGACGATAAACGCTTTTCTTTTAGGTTGTCGCTTACTCTATGCTTGAAGCTTCAGAGCTTTTTTGGAACGAGCCTAAAATCAGTAAAACGTCTCTAAAATCAGCAAAAGCGAGAGCGTAACTCGAAATCTTGAAGCTGAAGTCAACGTTAGCAAAACCCCTAAATCCGGGTCGCCAAACTAAGAAGAAACATTAATGAAAACTAAGAAACTAACAAAAACAGCTTTTCTTCTAGGTTGTCGGCTACTCTAGCCTCGGAGCCTTCATCTTTCGAGCTGTCGAAGGCCCGCACGAGCTGAGAATCCAGAATCAGGTCTAAAAATAAGTAAAACTAGCAAATTCCGAAAAATCCAGGTAGCGGCCGAGCGCAAGAAAACGATTGACATCGCCTGGAACGCCACTTTCCGCGTAAATCGACTAAATGAAGAGCAATGGAAGAGGATTGTTCATACACAGGTAAGAAAGAGGTCCTCTAACATAAGCAAAAATTCCTAGGTAAACTCCTTCCGCGCAACCTGCTACAACGCTATTCGAAACGGCTATGATGGGAAAATGTTCACGCCGCAATGGACGTTACCTGGAGCTTTTATGTATTCCCTTACAATCATTACAACTATTGGTAACTAAACTAGATACTTTTAGAACATTAACCTTTACCTAGGCTACGGCAATACCTCAGCAAAAACACCCTTCGGAAAAGTGCTAACAATAATGTATGCAATCATCGGCATCCCACTCATGCTCCTCTTCTTGACAAATATTGGTGACGTGCTCGCAAAGGTCTGTCGAAAACCCTAAATTTAATCTCAAAAAAATTGCAGATCTTCCGTTTCCTCTATGCTCAAAGTATTCGACTGAAATTCAAGATCATATTGTGGCACAAGAAGCGGAAAGTAAGTTGGGAGACAGGCTTCATCACGGTTTCCGATTTTAGGCAGCAAAAATCCGGCGCGCAAACTCGCTAGTGAGTCGATTGACACGCGGCCATCGCGTCAAGGCTGATTCAAGCGTTGATTCGTTGGGGCATAATGGTAAGTGCTTCCAAGGAGGAGGAATGCTAAAGTTTCGGCAAAAAGGACGAAAAGCACGTAAGGAAAAGGTTTAGAAGTTTTCAAACTAACAAAAAACCTTGCTAAAAAGGTCTAATCCTAAATCCAAAACGAATGTGATCTAATGTAACTCAAACGACAAATAACCCGATTCCTAAAGAGTCGAAGATCCTAAATAATTGTAAAAAAGCTCAAAAATCTGAAAGAAACTGTAGAAGACTTTACTTTTTCAACCTAGAATACGTTGACGTACCTGTTATCAAGGAAATCAAGGAAAACAAGCTTTGCAAGCCTATACTACATTGGCGCGAGCGCTATGAAATCTTCAAGAACGCTGAAAAGTAGATGAAACCCTGGCAAAAACGTTAAAAAACGTTTGCAAATGATAATACTTCAATTTTCTAGTCGAATCAATATCGCTCTTTCTAAACGGGTCCTAAATAAAGCAAAAAAAGCTGAAATTCCCGCTTCATATGCAAAAAATCAAACTCTAAAAACCGAAACTACATTGGCGGGCCGGCTTGGAAAACCTAGAGATCCCTGAAAAGTAGCGAAAGCATTACTAAACAATTCTGGTCCTATTTCTAACACTAGAAAACTTCAATCTTACTAAAAGCCCCTCAAAAATATATCGAATGCTTACTAAAGAATCCTAAGCCCCCCTCTTACTAAACGAAAATTCTTCAATTTCACCAAAGTTATCAAAATCCCGCTTTATAAAAAGCAAGACATCCTAAATCAGATCAGATAAATCAAAAATCCCCCCCCCAAATTACCGAAAACCTAACTTTACAAACCTAGGCTACATCGGCGGGCCCGATGTGGAAGATCTTCTAACAGCCCAAGCGCAAATGGAGGAGTTAGAAGTGAAAGAAATTGTGCAGGTGAGCTTCAACTCCTTTCCTAAAAAAATATACCCAATTTAGCAACAACTCGACAAAATAACAGTTCCCCTGTCGCTCGTCTGCCTCACAATGCTCGCATATCTAATGCTGGGTACTAAAATCCATCCAAAAACAATCAATATACCTAGGAACAATGATTTTCCACTTCTGGGAAGGCTGGGAATTGATCGATAGCTTCTATTTTTGCTACATTTCACTTACAACTATTGGTAAGTACTAAAAAAAACTTTTTCAAGCGCTTTTTTAGGGTTTGGAGACAAGTTTCCTGGTGAATCTCTCAGCGACAAGGAAGATGCCAGGGTTTTTTCTGTGTCTAAAAACCAAAATCACTAATTCTAGAACAAACTCGTTATCACATCCATCTATTTGCTATTCGGCATGGCGCTACTCGCTATGTGCTTCAATTTGGCCCAAGAAGAGGTAGGGATTCCGTAAAAAAATCCTAGCTAATCAACAAAGTTAGGTGGCCAACAAGACGCGATGGCTCGCTTCCAAATTTCGCCGGCAGAAGAGCGAGGACGACGACTAAATGAAGATTATAAAGTATTTTTTAACACCATTTCATGTATTTGACCATCAAAATACACAGTGTCAGCCAAAAAAATTTATCAAACAACCGGAAACCCGTAATCAGCAAAAATGAGGTGAGATCATACAAAAAATCAGATACACAATGCCATAATAGAATTGTTTGAAAACACGAAAAACTAACGTAGAATATTTTTTTTCAGGTTAATGGAAAAGTTATATTTTTTGAGCAAATTTGGGGAGAGGAAGGAGAAACGATAACCCTTAATCTGAATACCCGTAAAGTTCAAAGACGAAGGCGATCACAGCTCCATCTCGTCGCCATCATCGTCGCCCATTGGTGTAGCAGCGCGGGGTTGTGGAGAGGCGATCGAATCCTAAATAACGTTTGTTGAGAATTTACGGGAATACAAACAGATGAAAGAACGATGGTAGACCTTCCGGATGGTGAGCTGGCCGGATTTTTGATACCGTCGCCAACATCAACAACGAGTGGGGTTTCAGCGCGCTGGGTAGAAGAGGGGCTCGTATCCTAAAGAACGTTTGTTGAGAATTTATGGGAATACAAACGGAAGACAGAACGATTGTAGACCTTCCTGATGGCGAGCTCTCAGGGTGCCTCAATTGAAACTGGATGGGCACCTAATAAATAAAATATGAAAATCAAAAAGGCACTAACCGGTGGGAATCGAGCATCGTCATCTGGTTCCTGGACGACCGCTTCTTGTGTATCGACGGTGACTTCTTCTTCAGAGACGTCCTGAATTAAAATAAAAAGTTTTTTCGCAAAAGAACTCACCGAGATGTCGAGGTCGCTCCGGGGGAAATCGTCGTAGAGTGCGAGGGCGCGCGGGTAGACCGGACCGTTGATCGGGCTAAAGCTAGATTTTTGGATGAAACTTTAAATTACCTCCGGGGAAGCGGCGTTCGAATCAGCTGTTCAGACTCCTCGTGGATGGACAGGCCGGAGGTGCTGGTGGTGCCGCATTGTGTCGAATCGAATGTACCGTCGAAACTGTCCGCGGGCTCCTAAAGAAGGTCTATTTGACAAAATAATGGAGGTTTACCTCGATTATCGGCTCAACGTTTTCGTCAGAATGGCTGCCCTCCGTCATGCCCATGGGATCATCGGCGCTGAAAAAAACCATATTAACCTGCTTTGAAACCACGAAATAAAACCCATTTTACACAGTTTTTAGGGATAATAAAACGCATATAAAGATCTAAAAATCATAAAAAATTTTCAAGAATAAAGTATACAATATAAATTTTCGACTTTTGGTCAAAATATCCAAAATTTTTCAACATCTTTTTTACAAGTTCTTAGGAATTCGAAGATACTAAGACCTTGTAAAAACTATAGTAAAAATTGTAGATATAGAGCCGGCTAAAAAAAATAGCTTCCCTCCTCCCTAACCGTCCAGTATGTACCTTTAACACAAGAATTTTCAAAACCAGTACAAAAAAAAACCCACAACTCGGCAGGCACATCTGGAAGTTGTCTTTCTTTGAGGTCGACACGTCCTATTCCGGTTGTGATGTTTTCCATCTTTCGCTTCGAACTCGGCTCGATTCCACCAGCGTCGTCATCCTAAATTCAAAATTAAATAACAATATTAAGGGCTATCTCGCTAGCGCTAGCCCTCAGACACTAAAGTTTCCTAGTTAGCCCCCCGGTCAAACCAGCTCATTTTCAAAGAATAGCCATGGCCGCCGCATATTTGGCATGCTGCCAAAGCTTCAAAACAATTAAAAGAATTCAATAAAAATAAAATTTTACATTATGATGGCGTTTCCGCGAATCGTGCTTCTTTTCTTCTTGCGAGCCCGTCATCAGTCCTGTACTTGAAGTCGACGGTGTAGAAATAGGTTGAAGACGTGTTGCGACTACAAAATCAAATTCATATAGAAGCTTCAGGAAGGCGGAAAACGTAAACGTTGAAAAACAAAGCAAATACCAACCAAGGCCAAGTATCTTAAAAAGAACTGCACACAGTACATGCCTAGATTACTAAAACGCTCAACAATAAACTTTTTCGATACGTTTCTGTAAAATTTTCTTATCGTTTTGATCGAATCGCTTTTCCCTGTACAAATTCTATGACGTAAGAGGCCAGTTTTCAATGGTCATTAGTGTCGCATTGTAACGCAACTTTTGCATTGTCTCGAGGAGTCTGGCAAATAAATCAAATAAAAATAATATATTTTTGCAAATAGTAATGAGAAATTATGATTCAAGTCGGGTCGTTTGTAGGGATTTGCCTTACTACTTATCCTAGTGGTTCTAACTTAGTCAGTAGTAGTTACAACTTCTAAAATGGGTAAAGCAACGGCTTTATCAAGCCATTTTTGTCAAACTCGGACTATATGGCTTTATATTGTCGCAAACGTTGCTTTTTTTGTTCAAGCAAACGCATTTTGGTCGGAAGAAGGTGCCGCTGCGAGTGGAACCGAAGCATCGGGGGAACGACGAAGGCGACGTGCAATTTATTGAGGGAAAGTTGCTTTTGGGCTTAATTTAGCCAGTTTTTTCTGAATTAAAAGGTCTAAAGGCGTTTTCAATCGACTTTTCAGGGGCTTTTAAGACCTAGAAAGTGGGATGGCGGATGGCGATGGTTATTTCAAAGGGAAACTGCTAGTTTTCAGGGGTTTTCGATGAAAATCAACAAAAAGGTTAGGAATTCAGATAAAAATTGTTCAGAAGCCGTTAACCGGTTGGAGTGGTAACTGAGTCAAATAGTGCCTTTTGAGTGGTAACTGAATCAAATAATGAATTACAAAAGTTCAGAGGACTTTAGGGAAAGATTTTTAGGGGGTTTGTAAGAATAAATAGGGAGAAACGTGAATGGAGGTGGGTTTCCAAGCTAAACAAGTCAGTTTTTGAGTTCTTTGAGCGTTAATTCGGCAAAACAGTTAATTGGAAAGCTTAGAAGAGTTTCGAATAGATCTTTTAAGGGGTTTTCTAACAACAAATAAGGAGAAAGCGTGATATTGAGGAGTTCAAAGTGGGATTTTGAAGGTAAACAACTGGGTTTTCAGGGGTTTTAAGTATAATATTCACAAATTCGTATAGAATAAGATTAGTTTTTTCAGCTACAATTCATAACCTTATTGAAGAGTGATGGGGACAAATTTAAATGGGGCCAGAGGGGGACGGGTGATGAGGGGCAGTCAGCCCCAGCCCTGGCACATGGCACACAACCGCCCACTACGATTCATCCTTTAATAAAAACGCGCACGAGAGGGGGCGAGGGGGCTAGGCTACGGGGCGCTCCAATACCCCTCGCGTAATGCATTGTTAAGCTAAGGGGTGCTATCATTTCCACTTTCAACTGGCTATAACTTTTTTCTGAGAAGATTTCATAATCTACTTGAGTGTACAGAAAAATAGAACAGCTTCTGCTCTATCTTTTGGTCAAGGTTTCCTGAAAATCGTACACGGCAATCGGGCGCCCGGTCGGTTTGCGGTTGGAAAAATGAGGTACCTAAGACAACGGGTATCATAGGGAAGCTAAATGTTCGTGCATAGCGCCCCAATTGCAATTTTTGATAGACTATAGACTAGCAACTATCCAATAAACTGCAAAATCGCATCACCTTGACATCTACATCAGGCTTCAATAGAAAGTTAGCTAAAATTTTCAACTGGCTATAAACCTTTTTTATTGGCTGTTCTGGAATCTGCTTGAAAGCTAGGAACACAGAACAAACATCGCATACATATATCAACATCGCTCTATCTACCGCAACCAGTTTTAGAATGTCGTAGCGTTGATTTTAACAGCGGTCGATTTGGATATATGCACGAGTCCGCTGTTTTTCTTCATCCATTCTGCGCGAAAGAAAGTGATAGCATGCTTCTTGATCCGTCTAGAGTCATGACATTCCACTAGGAACATTTTCCACAAAAAAGCAAAACGAAAATGCGGAGGTCTGCGAACCCGGGAACCGAACCCGCGTCCCCTGTCTCGGGGCTGAACCGCCGCCTTAGACCACTACACCACGCCCCTCCCACCCCTCCCGTGCGCGCTCTGAAAGGCCGTGCGCCCATGGGTTCGGTCCAGATGGTTCAAGGGAAAGGGCGTACTGTACGTGTTTTTCGCGTGTTTAAAAACAAAAATCACTAATTCTAGAACAAACACGTTATTACATCCATCTATTTGCTATTCGGCATGGCCCTACTCGCTATGTGCTTCAATTTGGCCCAAGAAGAGGTGGGGATTCCGTGAAAATTCGAGCTAATCAATCAAAGTTAGGTGGCCAACAAGACACGATGGCTCGCTTCCAAATTTCGCCGGCAGAAGAGCGAGGACGACGACTAAATGAAGATTATAAAGTATTTTTTAACACCATTTCATGTATTTGACCATCAAAATACACAGTGTCTGCCAAAAATTTTTATCATGCAACCGGAAACCCGTAATCAGCAAAAAATGTGGTGACATCATACAAAAAATTAGATACACAATGCCATAATAAAATTGTTTGAAAACACGAAAAACTAACGTAGAATATTTTTTTGTTCAGGTTAATCGGAAAGTTATATTTTTTGAGCAGAGAGGAAGAAGAAACGATAACCCGTCATCTGAATACCCGTGAAGTTCAAAGACGAAGGCGATCACAGCTCCATCTCGTCGCCATCATCGTCGCCCATTGGTGTAGTAGCGCGGGGTTGTGGCGAAGAGACACTCGCATCCTAAATAATGTGTATGAAAATAAAAAAAGCACTAACCGTAGGGAATTGAGCATCGTCAGCTGGTTCTTCGACTCTTCCTTCTTGTGGAACATCGTCCGTGACGAGTTCTTCGTCGGAAAGTTCCTGAATTAAAATAAAATAATTTTCGCAAAATAACTCACTGAAATCTCGACCTCGCTGCGCGGGAAGTTGCGGTAGAGGGCGAGGGCGCCCGGCTGGACCTGACCGTTGCTCGGGCTAAAGTTAGTTTTTGGGTAAAGGTCAGTTAACCGGTGGGAGCAAGAAATAACGGGGGTGGGAACCATTTTCCCTATCGGCCCTGTTGTGCCAATTGAAGCATACCATCGGATAGTGCGTCAAAAATATACTAGGAAAATTAATTTCGGCCCGAAAAAATGTAATTTAAACTCGTTATCAAAGCAACAAGGCTATCGGAGAGATTTACTAAGAGATTTAATTCCAGCCCGAATTCATTTATAATAAATTAGTTATTAAAACAACAAAACCATCGGCTGGTCATGAAGTATACAATAAGATGATCATCATTTTCCGTGTTTTCAGCTTTGTCGGGATTACATTAGTGCCATCGGATAGAGCGTCGAAAATTATACTGAGAGATAGAATTACAGCCCGAAATACCACAATTTAAAAGTATTACTTTATCAAGCTAGAAAGTTTCATCACTTAAAATCGTTAAAAATGAGGTTTTTTGGACTGAAAACAAATCTTTTAGGATAATTTTCGGCGCTCTATCCGATGGCGTTTTTAAAATAGTAGGATATTCTTCACAAATACAAAAAATGTTCCCACACCCGTTATTTGTCTACCCGTTAAGCAAGCTTTACCGATTTTTGGAAGAAACTTTAAATTACCTCCATGGAAAAGGTGGTTGTGGCGATCGAATCAGCCCTTCGAAAGCTTGGTGGATGGAGAGACCGGAGGAGCTGGTGGTGCAGCATTGTGTCGAATCGAATGTACCGTCGAAACTGTCCGCGGGCTCCTAAAGAAGGTTTATTTGACAAAATAATGTTATATTATGTTTATTATCAAAAATAATTTTTATATTTTTAATTACCTCGATAATAGGCTCAACGGCCTCGTCTGAACTGCTCTCGTCGGTCGGATCCCCGTCCATTTCCATCAGATCATCGGCACTGAAAAAAACGGATAAACCTGCTTGGAAACCTTGAAATCAAGCGAAATATTTACAAGAAGAGGGTCATTTTTGCCCAAAATGGTCATTTGACGAAATATAACTCATTTTACATTATTTTAGGAATAATAAAAAATTAAAGATTTTAAAAATCATACAAAATTCCAGGAATAAAGTACACAACATAAAATTTTTCCGTTTCTTGGTCAAAATACCGGCAATACCAATTTTTTTTAATATTTTTGAGAATTTCCTAGCAATCCGAAGATACTAAAACAGTAAAAAAACTACATTAACAATTGTGAATATATAGCGGGCACAAAAATCAATTGCCCTCCTCCAGCAGTAGAAAAAAACCCACAATTGATCAGATACGTCTGGAAGTTGTCTTTCTTCGAGGTCGACTCGTCCCAGCCCCCATGTGATATTCTCCAGCTTTCGCTTGGAGATCGGCTCCACCCCATCGCTATCTTCATCCTAAATTGAAAGTTAAATAATAACTCGCCAGCGCTCGGCCTCAGCCGACGTTAAGCGACCTTTGCCAAGTTTTCTAGTTAAACCACCTCATTTTCAAAGAATAACCATGGGCGCCGCATATTTGGCATGCTGCCAAGGCTTCAAAACAACTAAAATCAGCTTTAGGAAGCACTTTTTCACGGCTACGCGCGCTCCAGTGGACGGACAAGGTGGGGCCGCCAACACAAAACGAAAGCAACGAGGCTAACCACGAGTGTTGTCCCCCCCTCCCTCCCCCCAAAAAAAAATTCAATAAAAAAAAATTTACATCATGATGGCGTTTTCGCGAATCGTGCTTCTTTTCTTCTTGTGAGCCCGTCATCAGTCCTGTACTTGAAGCCGACGGTGTAGAAATATGTTGAAGACTTGTTGCGACTACAAAATCAAATTCATTTAGAAGCATCAAGAAGGCGGAAAAGGTAAATTTTGAAAACAAAAACCAAAACCAAGCTCAAGTTAACTAAAAAAAGAACGGCATAGAGTACATGGCTATATTACTAAAAACGCTAACACAATAAACGGTGCTAATGCAATTAGGGGGGGCAGTCCGAAATTGGCAGTAAGGGATGATGAGGCGCTCCGCTTAAGCTACATAGCTTTCAGCTTCACCTAGGCTTAACTACCTTAACTAAGCCTAACTTAGGTTTAGGCGTCGGTTAAGCCCAAGCGAGGCTAGCTTGAGCTTCAAATTGCTTTACGAGGTCAAAATGGGCAAAGCAACGGTTTTATCAAGCCCTTTTTGGGCTTTTCTAAAAATAAATAGGGAGAAAAGAGAATGGAGGTGGGTTTCCAAGCTAAACAAGTCAGTTTTTTTTTGAGTGCCCTGAGCGTTAATTCAGCAAAATAGTCAACTAGAAAGTTTAAAAGAGTTTATAATAGTTCTATTGAGGCGTTTTCTAAGAACAAATATAGAGAAGGGAGGGTCTGGATGATTTCAAAGTGGGAATTTGAAGGTAAACAACTGGATTTTCGAGGGGTTTTAGTAGAAATGTATAAATTCGTATAGAAAAGGTATAGAATAGGATTATTTTGTTTAGATACAATTCATAGGCGTTTTAGATTGAGGACAAATTGAAATGGGGCCAGAGGGGGGAGGCGAAGAGGGGCCGCCAGCCAGCCCTGGCAGATGGGTTCTAGAATAGTCGACGCTATTTGGGGGCTAGAGAAAAGGGAAAGTTCGAGAAGATACGAGAGGGCGCCGACAGGACACTATGGGAATGGAGAGGGGAGAGACCGGGGAAAAAGAGGCTATGGGGATCGCGAAGCTTCCCGAATGGTTGCCCTGTTTATTCCTGCTGCTAGGTCGCATGCACTTGCCATTTGGCGAGCCGAAATTTTGGGCGTAGGTTCGGGGAGGTGAACTTGGGTAGTTGGAGTTGAAGGTAAACAACAACAAGTCAGTCACCCGGGCTAGATTTTTTAAATTTTGGCCTTAGTTAGTTTCTAGGTTCATTTTTTAAAGTTTTCCCATTAAATGGAAGCTAGTTAAAATACTCTTGAAGCTTTTAGAAGTTTTAAACTTATTTGAAGTCCAGAAAATCCTCGAAATTACCTGGAAACCTTGACTTTCGACCGTTTTCTACCTTTTTTGGCTTTCTAGACTTGGTAGAAGTAAACAAAAACCGCGTAAAAAGTCGATTTTGTAAATATTTTTGGGTTAAAGAGCCTCTAGGTTTATTTAAAAGTTTCTAACAATGAATGTAAGGTAATAAATATAATTTTTAAGTTTTTGGAAACTTATCCACTCTTTTGCGATCCCTCTACACCCCGAATTTACCTTAAAAAAATCGAAATTTAGCATTTTCTGATCATCTAAAGCTCCAATTTTTCAGCTTTTGTGCCTCTAAATTTGCTATATCTCTGTAGATGTTTCTATCAAAATCCAACGCGTTTCGCACCAAATCCACAGCCCATAAAAATATTTATTAAAGCTGACGCTCAATTCAATTAATTTACGTTAACATCAAGGATCACCGTGCAATTCGGGGGGACGGAAAATGGAAGAGAGATGTAATATAAGAAGTAATAATATAATAGACAGAAATCCAATTAAAAATTTGAAGTGACGGATGGGAGATTCGAGATTGGAAATAGAATGTTTGTGGGGAGGAAGAGAAGGGATGCGGGCGGGCTAAACTGCAGCCCCCAACCGACTTTCGCCCACTGTAGCTCGGCTCCCCGTTTTTCTACAGGCGTGTAAGGTAAACCAAATTGTTCGTCTCGCTTTTGCGAGTATTTTGGTATACTTTACAACCCGGTAACTAAACCGGAAATCAAGATAGAAAGGTTGAACGCCGGCCGGAAGTGATCTGCAGCCTTACCAAAGAAAAATAGCGAAATTTGGGTATTGTGGGATGGAAATGAGCAATTGTAGGGGGCAGACACTGCGAAATGGCACTTCGGTGAAGAAGGGATACGCTAATAGTTTGGTTTTTGGCTTATAGTTAGGGTCTGGCCGGGGGGAAGCGAATAGACATTAATGGGGGTACCCGATTGCATAGCAAAGAAAGATGCAGAGTTGTTAACAAATGAAAATCAATTGAAAAAGTCAGGGGATCTTAATTAAAGTCCTTCGACTCGTTCGCGTCGTCGGCCGAGTGCAGCTTCAAGTTCGGAGAGATGTGGGGTGGGCGGGGCAACGGATTGGACACGAGTTGTTTCCGAGCTGAAATTGGGGTATGGTTTTTAGGCTTAGGTGGCTTAGGTGGCTTAGGCTTAGGTTTAGGCGTAGCTTAGGCGTAGCTTAGGCGTAGCTTAGGCTTACGCTTCGGTTTAGGCTTAGGCTCAGGCATAGGCATAGGCTTACGCTTAGCTTGAGCTTAGCTTGAGCTTAGCTTGGGCTTAGCTTGAGCCTAGCTTGAGCTTAGCTTGGGCTTAGCTTAGGTTTTCTATTTAAAACTAACCGTTTTGGTGGTGGTGGAGGAGCTTTTTTAGCCAATGGTGTCGTAGCAGTGGCCAAAACCGGGGTAGTTCTAGCTGGAGGAGCCGGCTTCTCAGCAACAGGTGGGGGCCCCATCGATTTTGGTGGAGTCACAGGCGTTGGTATCGCGGTGAATGAGCTCGGCCTTGAGTCCTGAAATTGAATTTTGAGCTCGAGCTTCTGAAGTATGAGTGTTTTCATGGCATTTCGGACTTACCGGCTGCATCTGGGTTGAGGCTCGCTTCTGAATGGTTCCATAGGTTGCCGAGATAGTTGGGGGAGGAGCCGGGAAGCTGTCTTCATCGCTGTCAACTTCATCGTCAGCCGGTGACCCTGTTGAAGGCGTCGATTGGGAGGGAGCACGACGTAGGAGATGTTCAGGGGCCCTCTTGATCGTCCCGGTCAGGTCGTCGTTCTGAAATCGGTTTTGTTTGTCGTTATTTATATTGCTCTAGATTTTTTGGCACTTTTCTCTTAACTGGGGGAGCGGGGGTAATTCACAATTTTTAGGTATTATGGTCAAAAATGTATGAAAATGGACGGGATCGATCAAAATTGTCATATCTTCCATACGTTTTTGATAATTTCCTGGCAATAAACACCAACAAAAACACGCAATAACCCTCCCCCCCCCGGTAACAACTCAGTCCCAATCTCTTTACTTACATCAAACATGCTCCTCGAAGCACGCTCCGGAGTCGGAGTTGGAGCGGCAGATGAGGTGGCGGAAATGGAAGTAGATGGCTGTATAGAGACACAGGGTGACGGTTGGCGCTGGATAACCTGGACCTGAAAATCTATCGTAATCGAATAGAGTAGAATTTACCACCTTATGTTGAGGAGATGATGCATTATTGTAGAACTGAGGTGAGCTCGTTCCCCTCGTGGAGCTAGAGATCGACGATTCAGCTCGGACCATTTCGCGGTCATTCAGCTTCTTTTCTTCTTGTTTCCGGTAGGCAACAGCGGAGACCCAGTTTTGATAGATGTCGGCGCCATTCTACAGATTAGGTATATATACGGTTAAAACTATTCAGTTACCTTTGCGATTCTGAGAGCAGTAACCCATCTTCTATACGTAGCCTCATCCTCACAACATAAATATTTAATGTATGAAGAGCGCTTGATTTGGAGCGCCGTCAGCTTGATGCAAATGCACCACTCCGTCGGGGCCTTGTACTTCTTCTTCCAATCAAACCCAGAGTAGACTTGATATGAATGGAAATTCATCAGGCATTCCATATCTTTTGAGGATCTAAAATACAAAAATAAATATATATACTGTAGAAATAGTACATTTAGTTTTCGCTTTCTACTCACTTTTTGCCCTTTGGCGACTGATACAATCCACTATTCCTCAACACCAAAAACTGCTTCTTCCAGCTCTTCCTCCCATCCGCTTTCACCAACAGCTGACCCTCAAGTTGTGGAGGAATCACGGGAGTACGAGAGAAAAATTCCTTAACAAAAATATGCAAATTTTGAGTCTAAAAATTACCGCCACGAAGTTGTGCTTGACTTCCCGGGGCCAGCTCTCCCCAGCGGGCACATTCATCAAATCTTTGGTCCTTTCAGTGACCAGATAATTCTCCGGACGATCGACGAAGGGGTATTTATCCGAGCGCCGCACGAACCACAGTTTATTCGGGGATTCGTGGACCCAGAGTTGGATGTTTTCGACCATGTTTTCGTGATCTTCGTAGATGCGCTCTGGAAAAGCTTGGTTTTTTCAATCCTTAGAACTAAAAAACACAAAACCAATTTTTATAACATTTTATGAAGTCACCGCTAAGACTCCCCCCGGCCCCCGCTAAGAGTCCAGTAAAAAACTTACTTATTCTCAAATCCGGAAATTCCTCAACAATACAATGGTCCTCGTGGAGGATCATATTGTGTTTGAGCGAGATTTGGCGCATTGTCTAGATTATTTTATATATCAAAAATTAAGACAATAATGATACCTCAGCAACGGTCCAGCCATCATCAACAAGGAGTTGTAGCGGCTGGCCAACCTCGACGAAGAACTTGACAAAGATGCGGGTGATGTTGGCTTTTTTGATCTTTTCCAGGGCTTCGCGGATTTTTTGGGCTTTGAGCTCTTCGGGGGAGAGGTTTTGCTCGGTGGCGAGGTGTTGGTGGGGTGAGACCTGGAAAATAGGCTTATTTTTGCGTGTTTTCTTAATTTTTAAACTTTTGTGCTTCAATTTTTGGAATTTTAAGGCTTTTAATACTTCATTTATAGCCTTTAAATTTGATGAATGGTAGTTGTCGATTATCGAGGGGGGGGGGGTGTCTTGCGATATTTTAGTGAGAATTTTACGCATTTTCGATCTTTCAAGCTTTTAAAGCTTGTGTTTAGATTCTAAGCCACATTTTCGGCATTTGTCTTTTATGGGGGGTTCTCTTTTGCTAGCGCGAGATTCTCTTGCTCATCTTTGCACTGGTCTTGCTTTTCGAAGCTTTAGAACGGAGAAAACCGATTTTTGAACGGAGACTTAATTTTTATTTTTAGGTATTTTCATAATTAATCTAAAATGCAAAACGGGGATCTGGCCCCTTTTGAGTCTGATCTAGGGTATTGGATGACCCGTCTCGCCTTGGAAGAGCCGTCATCGCTTGCTCAACGCCCCGACACCCGATTCCCAGGCTTTGATTTTGGCCGCTAGGGGTCTGGCCCGATGTCAATCAAGAATGCCACCTACTCCCGCTGGGCAAACATCACACGCCCCTGAGCAAGAGCATCAAGAGCGTTTTTTAAATTAAAGGGAAGCCACGGTGAAGCTACACGCTAAACATCGAAATTATAGGGATTTTTCGATATTTTCGTTATTTTCTCGAATTTTTTGCAACCCATTCGATCGAGCATCAAAAAAATATACTAAAAGTTTTTGCTTTAGCTCAAACTATTGTAATATAAAAAATATTGGCAAAAACAAAAGTAAATCTTGAAAATCGGGTTAAGCGGCTGTTTTTCGACACTCTGGCCATTATCACTTTCATATTTCTGAAGCAAGCCTTTTATCTTTTGGATTTTAGCGAGTTTATATATCGATTTGAAGCCAAATCATTACCTTCTACTGCCAATAAATTTTTTGATACGTGTTGGTAAAAATTAGAGGGTGAACAACAGGAATAATAACTGAAATTTGGGCTTTCATATTCCTCGCAATCCATTTTCCGGAAACGCAATCCCCTGATCAAAGAGCTCCATTCTTCAGAGCAGACGTGCGATGAACATGCGGCAATACATTCGACAGAGCGTCGAAAAATATGCTCAGAGTTTTGTTTGTAAAAAACAATGCAAAAAAGTGGCTAGGTCGACCCCAACACCCTCCCCCCCTCCAGTGGTGATGCCCGGCCCGCACCATTTTTGGGGCCCCTTTTGGGGCCTCTTTTGCCTTTTTGGTTATATTCATCCAAAATCATATTGATTACTCCTGATTTATCTTGAAACTCGAGTTTTTGATGGATTTATCCCCAAAAAAGGAATTTAGGTAGAAACTTTTCCGTTTTAACGGGTTTATAGATGGGTTTGAAGACAAATCACCACCTTCCTACAGCCAATAAATTTGTTTTAACGTGTTATAAAAATTAGAGGGTGAACTACAGTAACAATAACTGAAAACCAGGATGTTTTTAGGTACTCATATTTCTCAGGGAAGCTTTTGATTTCTCTTTTGGGTTTCAGCGGACTTATAGATGGATTTGAAGCCGAATTAACTATCTTCTACGGCCAGTAAATTTTTTGAACGTTTAATTGCATTGCTCGTAAAAATTAGAGGACGAAATACAGTCATAATAACGGAAGGCCCGGGCGTTTTTGGATGTTCATATTTCTCAATTAAGCCATTTTCCGGAAATGGAATCCCCTGATCAAAGAGCTCCATTCTTTAGAGCAGCCGGGTGGTACACATGGGGCAATACATTCGACAGGGCATTGGAAGATATGCTAAGAGTTTGTTTGTAAAAAAGAAATGCAAAAAAGTGGTAAGGTCGACCGAAACACCCTTCCCCCCCCCCTCCAGTGGTGGTCCCCTGCGGCCGCCACCCTTTTTGGGGCCCCTTCCCTTTCCACCCACCGCGGGTAGGGTGTGGCTCAGTGGTAGTTCGTCGGCCGCTGAGCCTTGATGACGCTGGTTCAGTATCGTCATCACGTTCAACTCGCCTTTTGCTTTTTCTTTTCATCCAGTTCTTTTGCTTTTTGGTTACGTTCCTCCAAAATCATATTGATTACGCCCGATTTATCTTGAAGCTCGAGTTTTTGATGGATTTGTCCCCAAAAAAAGAGATTTAGGTAGAAATTCTTGCGTTTTAGCGGATTTATAGATGGGTTTGAAGCGAAATAACTATCTTCTACCACCGATAAATTTTTTGACACATTTAATTTAATTAATTTTAAAAATGCGAGGTTGAACTACAGTAATAATAAAACCGGAATGTTTTGAGTTTTTTATTCTATTTATTTATCTATTTTCCGGAAATGCAATCCCTTGATCAAAGCGCCCTTGTCTTCAGAGCAGCCGGGTGGTGCACATGTTCCCCCTCCAGCAGCTGACCAAATACATGCTCCATATTTTGGGCCCTAAGGCTTAGGACCCAGGGGCCACTCGTTGAAGGGCCCCCTGTCCATTTCCTGGGTGCTATTTGAGGGGGTTCATCTGCTGTCAGCCCCAATCCCTCCTCAACAATGGGCTGGGGTGGTGTGGGGGGTGGTGTGGTGCCAATATGGTGCTGTTTTGGGCCCTTTTGGGCCCTTTCTATTTGGCCCTGGGCCCTAGGCTAATTGTTAATTGCGATGCTAATAGATCTAGATAATTTTGTGAGGCTTGCCTGGGTTGGTGATGGCGTATTGAGAGAATCACGGCAACTGTCGGCTGAGGAGACGTTTGAGCCGTGGAAACTGGAATTTAAAACTTCAAATTTTACCAAGATTTATTTTATAACGTTTTAAATAATTTAAATAATTTATAATACGATTTTCTTCAAAAAATATTTACCGATGATGGCTATTCGTCGAAGAGCCCTCTCCATAGGCTGAATCTCCATCTGGGGAGCTGCAGGATGAGGGAGGACCAGCTGTCACCTGAAAAATAGACTTCAATATAGTTTTCGACATTAACTACAATTTTTTTATTAGCTTTAAAAGTATTGGAAAATTAGTAATCTAGTTTCTGAAGTCGAAAAATTGTCATTTTTTTAGAAAATCTATTTTTTAGGATTTTTAGATGATTTTGAAGGGTAACAGAATAAACATACCATTTTTACAAAAACTTTAAATGCTTTTTAGATTATTATAAAAAGTTCTACAGTGCTCCACGACCTAAAGAATCTACTATTTGCCTCTCCTAATGCATGACCTCCATATTGCCCACCCAAGGGGGTCGTCCAGAGATTATCCTAATCCCAACCCAGCGCTACAATGGACAATACCACCTCATCCGGTCTGCCAATACGCAAAATCTTACCCTATTCCTCTGCTCGGCAACTTCAACGCGTACGGGGTGAACCACTGGGCGAGGTTGCACGGGTGGTAGATGACCATTGTGCTGAAAAAGGGTTTGTAAAATGGTTTTAGCCTCATTTCTGCACTTTCCATCGAAAACTTACCTTTATCCGGTCATCTGAATTACTTGGCGAAATTGTCGGGATTCCAAGAAGTAGCTGATCACCCTTAGAACTGGCCAGGTCCGTCTCCAACGCGTTCAGCTCCTCGATGAGCGCATCAAGCTCCCAGTTTGCTGAATCTAGAAAAAAGGGCTTATTACCGGTTCCAAATAATTTTTAGATATTTTTATTTATGCTAATTTACACTAATTAGCCATCCGATCTCCGCTCATTTTGTTATTATACCTCTGGCCGAGCGTTGGCGCTCAAATTCGAGCATTATCGCGCTGTTCCGGTAATGGGGCTGGGTCATACTGTATTTTCGACGACTAAAAATTAGACGGAAATTGAGCATGAGATATGAAACTGGATGAGAAAGAGAATATTGGATTTTGGGCAACATGTAGGTTGGTGGGGGGAGGGAGTGGGGTGCTGAGTCCCAGATGTTGTAGAGGTATTGGATGGACTGGGCAAACAAGAGAATTTGATATAGGGGTACCTGGGAGCCAAAAATTGGTGTCATGCTCCTTTTAAAGGAGGTGGGGGAGGAAAATCTATTAAAAACCATGGAACTCAAAATTTCGTCGGATTTTTGTGTTTTTCAGGGGCTACTGAAACCATTTGAAGAACCTGAGAAGGCAAAAATGTATTGGAAAATAAGGAAATTGAGATGCTTAGGGGGGTACAGTAATTTTTAAGGGACTTTTGAAGCCAAAATCGACAACCCAATAAGACCAAATATGCTATCAAAACCTCTTTAAAGGTCTCGGCAACGCAAAATCCATAGGAAACATCAGGAATTGGATTCGCTAAGAAATTTTTTGAGCTATTTCAACGCTATTTTTATTTTTAAAGGCCCAAAAAACGTGAAAAATCTATAGCCCAAAAACACGAATAGCGGCAAAGACAAGGCAAGCGGAACGGAATTGACTAAATGACCGTGTGGAGCAGCCGGCAGGCGGGACCTGTCCCTCCTCCCTCTTGCTCTACCTAGTGGTCAGGTCGTAAACCACAGGGTACCAGGGATGGGTACAACAAGAGTTGATAGAATGAGAGAGAGAGAGAGACCGAGTGACATACAAAAAGGGGGTATGTACCGGGAAAGAGAAGACAACGGGATGGTGGGTGGGAAGAAGGACAGCTGTTCCAATTGGTACAAATAGGTGCAGCCTGCTCGGTGGGTATATCTTAGAGGGGGCGGGAGTATTCATTAAAGATGGATGCCGGGGCTCGGTAACGGCATTAGGAACGGGATTCTAAAAAATTGGGCAATTAGAGGGATTGGAAGGTCTTAAAAAGCGAAAATTTACAAAAAAACGGGTTTTTTCGGTTTCAGCTATTAACGCAGGATTTGCATGCTTCAAAGGTCCTTTAAAAACCGGAAATTCCTATAAGTCTTAAGTGCGACCAGCATTAACGCCGAACACGTTAAAATGCCTCTATAAATACACACATTTCCAGAATTGAGTAAAACTGGGCATGCACGAGAGAGAAGAGAGAGAGTAAGGGAGAGAGGGAGCACGAAAGTGAGATGGTCAAATAAGGTGAGAGAGAGCAAGAAAACCCTATTTTCTACAATATTGACTCCTCCAATCCAAAAAAACAGGACACCCATTAGTCGCGCTCCCCAATTTGCTCCACCCCATGTTATTGGGGGCTGGAGACAAATTTGCATAAGGGTTGCGCAACGACGCGTGTCGCCCTTCTGCCTGCTCCACTTGATATCGAACGGGCCAGGTCAATTGATCCCCGAAAAAAGCTGGGGCTCAAAAGGCAATCACTATGAGCAGGAGCTAAATAAGGAGCTTCAGCTCAACGTACCCATTGGATGCAGCGGATTATGATTGGAATATAGGGGATGTTGAGGTCGAAAACAGGAATTTATTTTTGTGGGATCTGCTACCCTCTCAATTGCCCCTATCATCTCCTGCGGAATGGATTATCATCTTTACGACTATCCAAAATTTACAGCCTTTGATAAGAGGGTAGGGGGGGGGGGAGGGGGGGGGGGGGGGGGGGGGGGGGGGGGGGGGAGGGGGGAGAGAAGAGAGAGAGACAGACGGGTGCAATATCGCAAAATATCCAAGCCATTCGCTCATAGACTGGAATTTCGAGTCCAAAAAGCACTTCTCAGAGCCCCAAAAATATTTGTAATAAAATCGTAACTACTCTCAAGGCTAAAATAACTAATTTAGGCGTCCCAGCACGAAGCGTCGTCCAAACACAACACCCCTGAAAGCTGATAGTCAAGCCGATAAAAAAGCACCTTCCCCCAGGCTCGATGTCGGCAAACAAATTTCAGCTTTTGCCCGCGTTTTCCCGCCGTTTTCCCGCCAGAAATTGTATAGCAAAGGCGTTCTCCGATAAATAAGCAAGCTAATCAAGGGTGGGAAAGAGAGAGGAGAGAGAGAGAGAGAAAGATAAAGAGAAAGAGAAAGAGAAAAAACACAATTTCTAGCCCTATTTTACGAGAGGTGATAAATAAAAGCGCTCCCCGCCTCTTACGCCTATTAAAAAATCCGATTTCCTCCTCTCAGTACAGCGTAAGGAGGTGTATTTTGGAATGAGGATTAGCGAGGGGGAGATGATCGTACCCTGAGCACGCAAAAAGCAGTTTATTGTGGCTGCGGGTGGCTTGCAAAAAGTGGTGTTTCCCAAGGTATGCTAAGAAATCGCTTCCTAGGGCTTTTTCAGAGGTTGCTCGGCGCCAAAGAGTGCAAATATGGATTTAATGAGGTGTGGAAAGGAATCGGATTTGATAGAAAAATCTTAGAGAAAATAGAAAATATGTTTTTTGATCTTCTAAAGGCTTCCGGTGGAGTTAAAATGTTGATATTTTTGGTGATATCAATGGAAATCGAGAAAGAAAAGTTTCAAAAATGAAAGTAAAAGATGACTCAGCCTATGGAAATCGCTATGGGAGAAAACAAAAAACGGATTGGCAAGGAAAAAGAACCGGTTTTGTAAGGCTTAGGCTTAGGCTTAGGCAGGGTTAGTAAGGCTTAGGTGGTTGGGCTGGGGCTAGGCTTGGGCGGGGCTTGGGGGGGGGGGGCGGGCGGCAGGCGGCTGGCTTAGGGGGGAGGTTAAGAAACCCATTTTCGGGACCAGAAAAGAAGAAACAAACAATAGCTGTTCTTATTTCTCTTATCTAAAACTCTTGCCAATCCAAAATTGTGAGCAAGCGATAGGCCGATCGAGAAGGGACAGCAAGAAGTGTTTGAGCACCAGGGTTAAGCCCTAGCGGCTCGAATAAACATACTATAAGGGGGTGGGTGGGTGGGTGTCCAGCTGGGCCACTCCCCTTCCTTCTAGCAGTCTTATATTCCACAACACAACTTCCTATTTCATCGCCCCCGGGGCGATCGTATGCAAATTCGGGGGGGGAAGGGTGTAAACAATGTGCCAAACAGGGTGCTTTGTGTCCGGCAACGGGCAATATGTCTTGACTGGTCATTGAAATGCGCACAGGGCCGACACGGTGTTGAATAATTCGTAATTTGGATACGAGAGGCCGGTTTAAATTGGTTTTTGATTTATGGCACAGTCTGGGGGTTGAAATTTGCATATTTTGTCTAAAAATTGGCCAAAAAACAAAAAGCCGAATTTTAATTTTTTAAAGGAAATTTAAAAGTTACATGAGACGAAATCCATCGGAATTTTCGCCTTGCTAATGTCTTTAAAAAACCTGAACCGTCGGAATTGTCAAATTTATCCACTTTTTTACCAGAAAATCAAAAAATTTCGAGAAAACTGACTTTATTTTTGCAGGATCTATACAAATTTTGCCTTCAATGGTCCTTTTGAAATACGTTTGAGCCCTAAAACATGATTTTTAATTTTAGAAAAAAAATTTACAGAAAGACAAAAAGTCCTAATAGAAGTTAGCAGAGCTGGAGTAAGCGCGATTTTCCCGGAAAATAAAGTTAAATCCTGACTTCAACAACCCTTTAAAACCAAAATTAACCAATTTTTAAAATTTGGGACGCTCTGAAAGTATCATAATCCCCCCAAACCCAACCACTTGGCCCCCATCCAAAACCATCAACAATGTGAGCAAGAGTGGCGGCAAGGGCGGGGGGGGGGCTAAATGCCCGGAAGCGTCTAATCCCCCACTATAATAGGGCCCCATCCCAAATATAGGCAAAGGTCTGGCGGGTGTGGGAGAGCCACAGAGAATGGGCTAAGGGTCAAACGGTCATATGCCAAAAATCACAGATGGCCAGCAGCCGAGGGGGGGTAGCAAAGGTCTTTTGTGTTTTGAAGAGGGATGAAGAGGCGGTCACCCATGAAATACCATCCCTTCCGAGCCTGTATCCAAAATTTAAAAAATCGCTGCTAGCTTACCGCTGGCTTCCGCCATGGATTTTAGGACTTTAAAGGTCCGGACAAGGCATAGCTATGGATTTTTTTCTGTCTAGGGATTCGCTAAAAATTTTTTGGAGTTCTAGTGACGGTTGCGTTACGTATCGCGGTCCCGAAAAACCTTTAATAAACTATCCATTCGCTGCTAGTCGATTTTTAGTGGATTTTTTGTTTTAAAGGGCCACGCAAGGCTAGACGGACCTAGTCCCCCGCGACACGCAAGGCGCGGTCGGAATTTCATTGCGTAGTGGATCAGAAAAACCTGAGCAGGTTCGAGCTGCGGTCGCGTTGCGTTCCATGGTCGAGAGGAGAGTGAGAGAGAGAGTGAGCGAGAGTGGGCGAGAGAGCGAGCAGGAGAGACGGAGGCAAAAAATCCATACCAAAATCTGTAGCGATGCTTTGTCAATCCCTTTAAAGTTAGTTTTTGAGCGTCAACTACCAAAACTGACAGATGGCAAACGTGTTGCTCTAAAGGAGCGCCTTTTGTGATTCCAAGAGGACCAAGAAAGCAGTCACCCATGAAATAGCATCCCATCCCGAGCCTGTAGATGCATAGGCAAAATCCGCCGGCCTGTTGGCGGTTGGTTTTGGAAATGGGGAGGATTGGATTGGAGGACGAGACCGGGGGCATGGGGGATCGGGATTGGGGCAGTTTGTACAACTGCCCGTATCCTGTCTCTATTGTCTTGTTGTTTCGGCTTGTCCCCAAGTTTAGAGGAGCAGCTCCCGGAAATTTGAGAGGGGTTTTGGGCTGGAAAACGGAAAAAGCAAAAAAAGTGGTCGTTTAGAGCCAATTTCCTCTTTGCCTGATTTATATGGTCTATTTTTATGTAGATTTTAACGCTTTAAAGGCCAGTGAAGACAAATTTCATTTTTTTAGACGTCCTAAGCCCTTTAAGCCCGCAAAAACACACGCAAAATTCTCTAAGTTCACTCAAAAGTGCAAGAACT